TGCTAGATTATTAATCCAGTAACTCAGGTAACGTTCTGGGGACCTGGGTTCAAATCCCACCACAGCAGAGAGTGGAATTTGAAATCAATTTAAGAAAATTTGGAAGTGAACATCTACAAATGACCATGAAACTATTGCTGGGTGTCGTAAAATCCCAGCTTCAGCAAAGGAAACCTCTCTCTTCACCTGGTCTGGCTTATATGTGACTCTAGACCTAGAACAATGTGGGTGACTCTCAATTGCCACCTGAAATGGCTTAGCAAGCAGTGCTAGGGCCAGGCATTAAATGTTGGCTAGTTCATGATACCTACATCCCACAAGTGAGTAATAACAAAAAATATAGTTCCAAGTCAAGGTAGTGTGTGACTTGGGATGAGAAGTAGTCGTAAGTGAAGGTGTGCCTATGATTCCATGCACTTGTCCTAATCGGTGGGAGAAGTTATGAGTATGGAAGGTGCTGTCAAAGGAGCATTTTTGCGTTACTGCTGTACATCCCATAGATGGTACATTCTGCAATTCACTGTGAAGGGACTGAACGTTGAAGCTGCTGGATGGGATAGCATTCAAGCTTACTGCATTGTCCTTGATGGGTTTGGGTTTCTCCCAACTGGGAATGCTGATTTTTCCTTTGTTGACTCTGTGCATAACTATCCTAACACACTCTCAGTCGGCCTCCCACATTCAACCTACCGGTAATCTCAAGATCATCCAAAACTCCACTGCTCCTGTGCAGATGCACACTAAGTCTTGTTCATCCATCATCATTCTATAATTTGAATGGAATGGCAACCTATCCAGTGAAATTAAACACAGAGAAGTGAAAAGAATGAACCCTAAAAGTAAAGGGTTTCCTAAATTGGAAGGAATAAAGAATTCACAAGCAAAGGATAAGACGCAGAGGAAATGAACAGGAGAGAGAGGGGAGATTCCAGTCAATACCTTGTCTGATTACTCACTAATTTTGAAAGTTACAGAGTCATACAGCATGAAAATAGACCCATCAGTCCAATGAGTCCATGCCAACCATTGTTCCCAAATTAAACTAGTCCCAGCTGCCTGCATTTGGCCTATATCCCTCCAAGCCTTTCCCATTCATGAACTTATCCAAATGTCTTTTAAAAATTGTCACTCGACCTGCATCCACCACTTCCTCTGGCAGTTCATTTTACACACTAACCACTCTCTGCAGAAAGAAATTGCCCCTCATGTCCTTTTTAAATCTTTCTCCTCTCACTTTAAAAATATGTTGCCTAGTTTTGAACTCCTCCACCCAAGGAAAAGACCTTTGCTATTTGCCTTATTTATGCCCCTTATGATTTTATAAACCTCTATAAAGGTCCACCTCAACCTCCTAAACTTCAGTGAAAAATGTCCCAGCATATCCATTCCAGGCAACATCATGGTAAATCTTTTCTGACCCCTCTCCAGTTTAATAACATCCTTCCTTTCACAGGGCGACCAGAACTGCACGCACTACTCCAGATCAGGAACACCAATGTCCTGTACAACCTCAACATGACATTCCAACTCCGAAACTCAAAGGTCTGAGCAATGAAGGCAAGCGTGCTAAATGCCTTCTTCACCACTCTGTCTACCTATGATGAAGATTTCAAAGAATTATGTATCTGAAGTCCTAGGTGTCTCTGTTCCACAACATTACTCAGTGCCCCACCATTAATTGTATGAATCCTGCCATTGTTTGTTTTACCAAAATGCAACACCTCTCATTTATCCAAATTAAACTCCATCTGCCACTTTTTTAGCACATTGACCCATTTAATCAAGATCTCTTTGTAATCTTAGATAACCTTCTTCACTGCCTATTATACCACCAATTTTGGTGTCATCTGCAAACTCACGAACCATGTCTCCGATATTCTCACCCAAATCATTTCTATAAATGACAGAGCAAAATGGACCCAGTACCAATCCCTGTGGAAGACTGCTGGTCACAGGCCTCCAGTCTGAAAAACAAGCCTCCACCACCAGTCTGTCTCCTACAGTCAAGCCAATTTTGTATCCATTTAGCAAGCTCATTCTGAATCCCATGTGACCTAACTTCACTAATTAGTCTACCATGAAGAACTTTATCAAAGGTTTTACTAAAGTCCAAGTAAATAATATCTACTGCTCTGCCCTCAATCTTTTTGGTTACTTCCTCAAAAACCTCAATAAGTTTGTGTGACATGATTTCCCTTGCACAAAGCTATGCTGACAATGCCTAATCATTCCTTGCCTCTCCAAATGCAAGTTAATCCTATCTTTCAGAATCACCTCTGACAACTTACCCTCCACCCATGTCAGACTCACAGGTCTATTGTTCCCAGGCTTCTCCTGGCAGCCTTTCTTAAGTAAAGAACAACATTAGCCATCTTCCAGGCCTCCGCCACCTCACCCATGGCTGTGGATGTTACAAGTATTCTTGTTAGGGTCCTCACAATTTCCTCCCTAGCTTCTCACAATGTAATAGGATACACTGGATCAGGTCCCGGAGATTTATCCACCTTTATGTTTTCTAAGGCCTCCATCACTTCCTCTTCTGCAAATATGAATTATTTTCAAAACATCAGTATGTATTTCCTCGAGTTCTCTAGCCTCCATTTCTTTCTCCACAGGAAAAACTGACATGAAATATTCATTTCATATCTCTCCTGCCACCTGAAGTTCAACACAAAGACAACCTTGTTGATCTTTAAGGGGCCCAACTCTCTCTCTCTATAGTTGATAAGATGAATAAACTATGAAGTTAAAAATTATTAGAGCTAAAACTAACAAAATTAAGAACAGAGTGAGTGCTGGAAAAACCTAGTAGGTTTGGCCACATTTGTGGAGCGAGAAACAAAGTTAACATTTTGAGTCTGGTGTGACTCATTTTCAGTAAAGTGGACACATGGAAAAGAGTAGAACAGAAAATGTTTTTGCAAGGCATTTTCTGCATTGTACTTCCATAGTAGAGTGGTGTTTAAACCTTTACAAACAAGAAGTGGATCCATTAGTAAAGCATTTTGTTGATATACATCATTCATTTAAACATAAACCTTTCTAAAATGAAATGCATCTGAGATTGAGCCATTAAGAATGAACTGAAAGCACAGGAAATCTACACATGGCTGTCAATTAAAATAACAATATTGTAGGATGGGAATTTCATTTTCAGTCATCAGTGATCCTGTCCAAACTCAAATTCATAATATCTTGGGGCAGGGCGAATGGGCTCAAAAACAGCAGACTGTAAGATGACTAGAGTGATAGGGAAGAACCCTCCAATTAAAATGTACAACTGAGTGTCAAAATGAAGGAAATTTTGGAACATAAGTAATTCAGTAGTTTCTCATATCAGCTTTCTCTGTGCCCAGTGCCAATGTTCTTTAATTTCTTTTCTGCGCTTTTCATGATCCAGTCTTCTTCCAGCTAATGGCTAGAGGAAGGTTTGGTGCCCATGATCTATTTCTCAGCTTTCGATCTTTCCAAAAATGTTGCCTGACCCACTAATGTTTCTGTTAGTGTGAATAAAAGCAGTAAAGTCAGAAATTATTCTATTAAAAATTATATTAATTCAAATTACCATTAACTGCAAATTACAGTTTGGAAAATCAGAGGTAGCTGTGCACTTGAACTCAAATACAATTTCAAAGTCAGACAAATTATTTTATTCATTCACGTGATGTGGATGGTGTTTGAGAGTCTCTATGTTCCATTGCTGGTTGCCCTGCAGAATGTGATGGTGAGCTGCCTCTTGGACTGTGATAATCATTGGGAAGTAGGAACAGAAACAAACAATGCTGTGATCAACTGAGTTCCAGGATTTTGTATCCTGCTGCACATTGTCCCCTATAAAAATGGTGGCACTAGTCTCGCGAAAAGTTGCTCATATTAAAGACGGCGGCAATAACTTCAGCCTGACACTGTCTGAGGCCTATAGCTGTTTGCTGCGAATGTAGAAGCAGAAGTTTCTAATTCAAGGCTAGCAGCCTAAACGATTCATCATATACTATCTTGCCTTGTTAGTCCTCTTAAATCTCATCACCTAACACTTTGCAGGATTAGATTCCATTTGCCACTGTTCAGCTCATCTGACCAGCCAGCTGTATCATTCTATAGTCTAAGGCTTTCCTGGCAGAACCCAAAGTGGGAATTAGTAACAGCTGACTGCTGCGTAAATGCTACTTGACAGTACCGTCCCTGTCACGTCCCATCGGTTTGTTGATAATTGGCATTTGATTGATGGGGCAGCAATTGGTTAGATTGGATTTGGCCTGCTTTGTTTCAGGACAGAAAAAACAACTTCTGGGCAATTTTCCCATATATCTGGGAAGATGTCAGTATTACGACTATACTAGGTTTACCACACTCCCTGAGACTGGTTTACACTTTTGACTTGAAGATGACAAGGATTTTAGAAGATGAACTGTGCAACAGTGGCACAGACAGAAATCTGATCAGAGGAATTGGAATGTGGAGTTCTGGGAATGATGAGAAGGGATTCAGGAAGTGACAAAACTTTCAAGGACACAGAAGAAGAAAGGAACATTGGAGATAGAGCGGTAGTCTACATTTGAGGCATTGATAGGTTTTTCCACAGAGAGGTACAGTATGGCACAGTAGAGAGCGAGAGCGAGAACCATCCACAATATCAGCAAATGTATGAAGGGGATGTGAGCACTTACTTGGAATGGACTTGAGGGAGCAAGATGTCGGTCCCATGTACAGGTTGAGCAATAACTGAAAATATGGGAAGATGGGAGAGAAACTGAATAAAAGGTGTAGGTTTGGGACTCAAGAAAGGGGAGCTTTTGAAGGCAGTTTGTTCCCAGACAGCTAGTGGGAGACAGTGATGCAACACAGGCAGCTGATTAGATTGCCTCAATGTTAGTGACAAGGAAACTCCATGAGCTCCTGCACTTCATGCTGGAAGTTAGGATGGTACAGACAGGGGAGAGGAAGAGCATTTTGAAAGGAATTAATTTGTATTTGAAAGCTTGAAGACTTGACACACTGTATTTAACACAAAATTGATTTATTTGACTTCTTTCTTGAATAATAGCATATAAAACTTGACCGAGGTACATCAGAATTGTTTGAAACAGACACCCTTGAACAGGGTTCACTTCCAGATGTGATGAACAACAAAATCCATCACAGTCATTACTGGTGAACTCGTTGATGTTTCCGCAAGCTGGATGAGTGAGCAAATCTCTTCCCACACTCAGAACAAGTGTATGGCCTCTCCCCAGTGTGACTGCGCTTGTGTCTAACAAGTTCGGACGATGTCTTAAAGCCAGTGCTGCAGTGAGAGCACCTGAACGGTCTCTCGTCACTGTGAGCACGTTGATGACGGATCAAGTCCTCAGAACTTTTATACCACTTCCCACACTCTGGGCATTGAAAAGGTCTCTCATCAGTGTGAGCTCGCTGGTGTCTCAGCAGATGAGAACTATCAATGAATCCCTTCCCACATTTAGCACAAGTGAATGGCCTCTCCCCTGTGTGGATTCGCTTATGTTTCTGCAGGTCGGATGAGTCGGTGAATCCTTTTCCACACTCGCAACATCTGAATGGCCTGTCCCCAGTGTGAAATCGTTGATGTTTCACCAGTTTGGATGACTCTGAGAATGTCATCCCGCACTCAGCACATCTGAACGGCTTCTCCCCTGTGTGAAATCGCTGATGTTTCACCAGCTTGGATGATTGAGTGAATCCCTTCCCACATTCAGAGCAGGTGAACGGCCTCTCCCCAGTGTGAACTCGCTGATGTACAGTGAGTTCAAATGATCGCCTGAACTGAGACCCACAGTGAGAGCACTTGAATGGTTTCTCGTCAGTGTGAAGAATTTGATGGGAAATCAGTTCACCGGAAGTTTTACAGCATTTCCCGCAGTCTGTACATTTAAACGGTTTCTCCCCAGTGTGAACTTGCTGATGTGTCAACAGTTGGGATGATCTAATAAAACCCTTCCCACACTCGGAACAGCGGAATGGCTTCTCCCCAGTATGAACTCGCTGGTGTTTATTGAGGTCAGTTCCTCGTTTGAATCCAGTCCCACAGAGAGAGCATCTGAAGGGTCTCTCATTGGTGTGAACATATTGGTGGGACACCAGTTCCTCGGAGCTTCTATAGCACTGTCCACAGTCTGGACATTGAAATGGTTTCTCCTCAGAGTGAATCCGCTGGTGTCTCAGCAGCCTGAATGATTGAGTGAATCCCTTTCCACACTCAGGGCAGGTGAATGGTCTCTCTCCGGTGTGAAGTCGCTGGTGTACAGTGAGCTTAGATAAACACCTAAACCCTTTCCCGCAGTGAGAGCACCTGAATGGTCTCTCATCTGTGTGAACACATTGGTGAGACAGCAGTTCCCCTGAACTTTCATAGCAGTTCCCACAATCTGAGCATTTAAAAGGTGTCTTGTCAGCGTGACCTTGCTGGTGTGTCAGCATGGTGGAGGAAGAAGTGAATCCCTTCCCACTCTCAGAGCAGGTAAGCAGTCCCTCCCCATTGTGACTACACTGATGTGTTTCCAGTTCAGATAGGCACATGAATCCAATCTCACACCCTCCACATTTCCATGGCTTCTCCCCAGTGTGAATGTGTTTATGTTTCCACAGGCCCGATGATCGGCTGAATTCTTGTCCACAAACAGGACATGTGTACAGTTTCTGCCCGGTGTGAATGGATCCTTTTGCTTCCATGATCAAAATCCAATGCTCTTCAGTTTATGCCAAATGGGGAGTCTGTCAGTTCCTAACAGGATGTTTAGCTTCAGTTTCCTGACTGCAAATCCTTCCCTCCTAATAACCTGTTAAAATGATATAATGCATTAAAAGAAAAGTGAGGGACAGCTGGGACAAGGAAAAGGTGATAATTAAAGCTTCTAGAATGTCAGAAAAACCCAATTGTTCTCTGATGCCCTTCAGGATAGGGAACCTCCCACCCTTTTGGGATTAAATAAGACTGTCCCCTCGATGGGAGCAGAGAATGTCAGTGGGACAGGCAGGGAGGAGGAGAAGACAGATTTTATAAATCTACAACCAAGCAGAGGATTCATAGAATCTCCAAAACTCTCAGACTCCACTAACAAGGAAAACCAGGAGAGCAGGTAGATGTAAATACCATCACCGCCCAGTTACACACCGCCTGATATCCAGTACTGGGTGAGCAGAAAGTTTCCCCCATTGTTATATTTAGAATGCTGAAGTCAGTGTTTTTTCTGCTGCAAACAGCACTCTCTCACTACTGATTCCATCCCTCTCCCTGGTAATTCTTTAAGGCTGAACCAGACTGTTCACTATCAACATGATATATTTCACCCCAAGGTGAACTTCCAACAAAGCAAGACTGCCTATTGCCAGCTCAGTTACATCATCCCACTCCTCCCTGGTCTCAGCTCATCTGCTGCTGAAACTCTCATCCATGCCTTTATTACTTGTAGACTTGATGATCCGACAAGTCTCCCACATTTCCACCTCTTTCTAGTCCTGATGGCGTATAAACCCCTTCTGCCTCTGTGCTTATCCACGTCACACGATCACCCTGGCTCCATTTCATGAAACACTAAGGCGCCTCCCTAACTCTCATCTCCTCCATCCTCACAACCTTCCTTCTCTCTGTCGCCTTCTGCAGCCTCACAATTCTCCCTATTTCCGTAACCTCCTTCAGCCTGGCAATCCAATGATGTAGCGGCACTCCTCTCATTCTGAGATCTTTGTTCAACTCACATTTGTTTAGTAACAAGGCATTGAGGGCATTTAACAAACTCAGCAGGCCTAGCAGCATCTGTGTTCATTGAAACAGTGTTCACGTCGAGAGTCCAGTGTAGCTCTTCTTCAGAACTGAAATCATACCAGACTCGAAACGTCAACTCTAAATATGGACTGGAGGTTGCAATAAGGTATCGTAATGTTAAGTATTATTGTCCCTCTATCGTCGACACAAAACAGCTGCAAGACTAACATGTACAAGAAGCAGTGGAAGTATTGACCCGATCTACCACCTTTCACATTCACTGCCTGCACCAGTGACGTATAACCACTTCACTCTCGTCTTTGTTCAAGTTGCGCGTGGCGGAGGCGCATACGCACCGCTACCAATTGCCCCGCGTACGGATGTCGACTCCGCTGCCAATTGCCCCACATAAAGATGGAGACCGTAGACCCGGGCCTAAATCCCGGGCAAAGGCTGGTGGTCGCCAATTCGATGCACACTGGAGCGCAGAGGCTTCTTATTCACGGTCTTAAACATACACCAAGCGTTTATGAAACCTTCCCTCTCCCCCGGTGACTTCAATTTTCATTACCTCACGCACTCCGTGATCCTTTGCCGTTCTCTCCGTGAGCTCAACACCGACCTTTCCCAAACTGACACGACGCATACTCTTAGTTTCTCACTGTCACTGCGCCTGCGCAATGATCTCCTGCAGTGAAAATAGAGCACATTCCCATTCTCCACGGATGCTGGGTGGCACCACCACGATTAAAAACTCGTGTTCTGTAATTAACAAGCACTTTTTTATGATTTGATTACGATTTGAATTAAGGATCTAAAATCACTAAGCAATCAAGTACACCAGGATCTTCACCATGTTTCTATCCTTGAAGTGTTTAACAGTAGAAAATAAACTGATAACAGACTTGAACTTTCTGGAGTCTCAGCAAATGCTCTTTTCAAGCAGAGGAACAGCAAACGTTGCACGCCTGTCAGCTAACGCATTCAGTTAAACTCTAAAAGACACGATCTATAAAAATTCCATTCACTCTAACATTCAGACATTTGATTATGTTTCTGTATGGTTTAAACCAGCAGCTTTACGTGTGATGAAAATGAGAAAAGTACTTCAGTAGCGAAGCACTACAGTGACAACATTAACAAGCGTCACGCCTGTGAAATAATGCTGCATTTCGATACTTTTTTTGCTAGCGTTGATGCATGCCGTAGAATTAGTAGAAGTCACAGCACAGTGAGAACCAATTCAAATTATTTCGTCTGTGCAAACTTTAATTTTGAAAGTCTTCTCAAAAAAGTTCTGATGTTCTTCTCGGAGATAGTCCATCTTCTCTCCCACCTATCCGCCCTACCAATCCCACTGACCAATCCACACCACTCCCTACCTGCATCCACTTATCACCATCCGACCTACCTTTTCCCAGCCCCACCCCTCCTCTCTCTTTATTTTCTCGCTTCCTTCCCCTCCCCATTTCTGAAGAAGGGTCCCGACCCGAAATGTCAACTTTCCTGCTCCTCTGATACTGCCTGACCTGCTGTGTTCCTCCAGCTCGACACTGTGTTGTCCCGACTGCTTATCCCCACCAATACAGCCAACACCCACCTTTGTCCCTTTCATCTAACAATCCAATACTTCTTGGGAAGCTAAGAGTTAATTTAAAACAAAAGAGGTGCGCGACTGTCTGCAGTCCCAACACACTGTGTCAAATTTAATAAAATGTCCCTGCCAAAATGATATGAACAGTCGAAAGCAAGATTTTTATGCGTTTGCTTTCAAATTGGGGAATATCAGTAGTAATGTTTATTCTGGTCGAGAATGGCTTCATTTATAAAATCCAATTCCCCTCACTATACAACCTGTTCAAGAAGTTATGGAAAAGAGAGAATGTTTTTTGTCCAGCTGTACAAAGCCTTCATTAGTTTATACCTGAAGGACTGGGAATGCCACTTGGTAAATGATTCAATGTTGGTCTTGGAAACGGGACAATGCCGATCCTACTGAATGTCTGTTCTGAAATACAAGGGAACATTCTAACTTCCGTGAATTTGACCAGGAGAGGTAATGATTGATTCATTGATTTGATTCTCAGTCTGCAGACAGGAACCGGAGAACTGGAGACAGGCAGAGGAGAGGGAGGAAACTGGGAATAGAGGAAATAAATGGGGGGAGATGGGACTGGACTTCAGCCCAGGAAGGAGGGAGAGCGTGTGAGACTAGGATTTACAGATTTTGGGGAACAGGAGACAAAAGAATTTACGTGTTCTGATTTCTACCTTCCGCTTTCTGAGCAGATTTTACAGGGTACGGGAAGAGGATGGTTTGCTCAATTTATCTTGACTTGAATACCATTGATCTTTGAATGTGAACGGAGAAATGATGAGAGGGTGCAGATAAGGTTTACACGGATTTTGCGGGGACTGGAGGAGAGAAATGAAGGGAAGAGATTTTGCCAAGTGTCCTCCCCTCCCCGAGTTCCTGAGCTGCCGCCTGATGGAGGGGGAGGGGCAGCGGCTTCTCGCTCCAGCCCAAGCCGGCAGCGGTTGCCCTGGAAAAGTTGGCTCCAGGAGTGGGAGGGGGAGGGGAAACGGGCGGGGGCGGGGTTCCTGTGTCCGCTCGCCTGAGCTTGGAGCCCGAGGACGTCATCGCCGAGCACAGCGACGCCTATTGGCTGCTTTCAACGGGATTCAGACATTCCCCTCTTCTTGTGAGTTGGAACATGTCTGTGTGGCATCGATGGCTCAACAGCATCCCAGTCAATTGTGCCTGGATTTTTCTTTCATGTTAGCCCAAACTCAAAGAAAAAAAGATTTGTTTCTAAATCTGTAGATAATTATTCCGCAAACCAAATTATTTTTTGAAACCCAGGAACCACCTGGGTTTTGTTACTTTTTTGATTATCCCTTTAAACTCAAGCTCAATTTCTCTTTGAATGGTTTAGGCAGAAACTCACATCAATTTACATTTCAGAACATCTAATCCCACATTTGGTGGTTTTAAATAATGCCTTAGCATCACAGACAGAAGTGCTTGCCATTAATTTAGAGGTAACTTTCAAATCTTCTGTTCTCAAGCGCTTTGTGTTGAATGAGAACAAATGGTCTGAATGGTTAAGGCCAAGTCATTGGAAGCCAAAGCCTTTTAACTTAGATTGTCAGCATGTTGTAATTTTTGATGTCAATAGTTTTCTTCATGAATTCATAAAAAGTTCCACAATTCCTGCTGCAGAATCAGCTCATGTCACTCTGGAAACCACCATTAACTATTTAACAAACACAGACATTGACCAAGAACCCACTGTGTGAACATGTCCATGAGAACAACCAAAGGTGTAAGAGCTGGAACAATACTCAGAGAGCCAGTGCAGATACAATGGGCTGAATGGCCTCTTACTGCATCATAACAATTTTGTCATTCAAAAGTGTCAGATCTGAAATAATCTCGAGTAATGATGAGGTATTAATGTTCGTGATTATAATCTCATCACTGAATCAGAATGCTGAGTTCAAACATCCCATCCAAACCCTTCACCATAAAATCATGGCTGATACTGTGATGTAGGACTGAGAGAGCCCTGCACGGTCAGTGATCCTGTCATTCAGAGGGAAACTTTGGATGTAGCCACATCTTCTCTCAGAGATGGACATAAAAGATTCATTGAAATTATTTCAAAGAACAGGGCAGGTATCAGGTTTACTGCTCAATATGCATCCTACAAGGATCATTGCTGAACAGGGTGTCTGTCATAGCCTCATTTCTGTTGTGAACTCTGTATCTCTCGCCACAGATGCTGCCTGACCTCCTGAGTATTTCCAGCATCTTATTTCTGTTTGTGAGAGTTTGTTGCATACAATCTAGCTGCTGTATCTCCTCACACAGTGACTACACTTCACAAGGACTTCAGTTGCTGTGAAGCATATTCGGTCATTCTGAACATGTGAAAGTCGTTTTATAAATACAAAACTTGCATTAACATTGCAGAAAAGGGCCAAGAACAGGCCAGAAATGGGACATTTATCAGTCTCCTCTAATCTGAGAGAAATCAGGGATACAAACTCTGTGTATCTGATGTGATTGTTGCATGGAAAATTAGTCCGGCTCAAGACATTATGTGCATCCACTGAAGTAAACTCCAACTTCCAAAGTGAACATGGTTGAGTTCTGGCTGCAGTATCAGCAGAATACAATCATACGTGACCTAGCTGGTGTCTCAGATGTGTGGATGAATCATTGAATCCCTTGCCACTCACAGCGCAGCTGAAAGGCCTCTCCCCAGAATGCATTTTCTGGTGTTTTGTTAAATCATTGCTACTTCTAAAGCTCTTCTTGCAGCATTTAAATGGTCTCTGATCAGTGTGAATAAACCCATGTCTGCCGAGATTATAGGACCAAATGAATCCCTTCCCACATCCAGAGCAGGTAAAAGGTTTCTCCCCAGTGTGAATATGCTGGTGCTCACTGAGTACAGATCACCAAGTGAATCTCTTCCCACACTGAGTGCATGCGTGTGGTCTCTTGCTAGTGTGACCATGCTGGTGTATCAGGAGCTGTGCTGATTGAACAAATCCCTTCCCACACACAGAGCAGATGAATGGTATCTCTCCAGCATGAGCACACCTGTGATAAGTGAGGTGTAAAGAACAAGTGAATCCCTTCCCGTACATGGAGCAGGTGAATGGCTTCTCCCCACTGTGAACACGTCGATGTTTAGTGAGGCTGGATAACTGACTGAAGCTGTTCGCACAATGAGAGCAGATGATCGGTCTCTCTCCAGTGCGAAATGGTTTATGTGACCTTAGGCTGGATGGTGACGTGAATCCACTCCCACACACACACAGCAGGTAAAAGGTCTTTCTCCAGTGTGACGGAACTGAAATGCGTCTCTTCCCACACGCAGAGCAGGTGAACGATTTGTCTCCAGTGTGAACCTGATTGAGTGGCATTAGGCTGGACTGTGAAGTGTATCCCTTCCCGCTCATGGAGCAGATGTAGGTTCTCTCCCCCTGGTGAAGACGTTTGTGTGACATTAGGCTGGATCCCCAAGTGAATTCCTTCCTGCATGTGGAATAACTGAACGACTTCTCCCCGTGTGAATAGGTCGATGTGAATTAGACCTTTACAGCTCTTAAAGCTTTTCCCACAGTCAGTGCGTTTAAAAGCTCTCTTGTCGGTGAACCCACTGGTGTCACACAAAGCTGGATGACCAAGCAAATCCCTTCTCACACACAGAGCAGGTGAACCGTCTCTCCCCAGACTGACTGTGTCAATGAGCTTTCAGTTGGCCTGGGTATTTGTATCCCTTCGTACAATCCACACATTTCCACAGTTTTTCCATGGTACTGATTTCCTGGGATCTCTCCAGGTTGGATGTTCTGCTGAATCCTTGTCCATAAACATGACATGTGTACAGTTTCTCTGCTCTGTGGATATTTTTTCAGAATGTTAACTGGATAATGTTAAATAATTTCTGCAGTCAGTTCATTGGAACACTCGCATTCAGGTGAGTGTGTGTGTGTATTGGCACATTACCACTTACACTGATGTTTGAGATCTTTTCCCGCAGACACAGATAGAACATAGAACATAGAACATTACAGCGCAGCACAGGCCCTTCGGCCCTCGATGTTGCACCGACCTGTGAAACCAATCTGAAGCCCATCTAACCTAAACTATTCCATTATCATCCATATGTTTATCCAATGACCATTTAAATGCCCTTAAAGTGGGCGAGTCTACTATTTTTGCAGGCAGGGCATTCCACGCCCTTACTACTCTCTGAGTAAAGAACCTACCTCTGACATCTGTCCTATATCTATCACCCCTCAATTTAAAGCTATGTCCCCTCGTGCTAGCCATCACCATCTGAGGAAAAAGGCTCCCACTGTCCACCCTATCTAATCCTCTGATCATCTTGTATGTCTCTATCAAGTCACCTCTTAACCTTCTTCTCTCTAACGAAAACAGCCTCAAGACCCTCAGCCTTTCCTCATAAGACCTTCCCTCCATACCAGGCAACATCCTGGTAAATCTCCTCTGCACCCTTTCTAATGCTTCCACATCCTTCCTATAATGCAGTGACCAGAACTGTACGCAATACTCCAAGTGCGGCCACACCAGAGTTTTGTACAGCTGCAACATGATGATCTTTTTCACTTCAGGTCCTGATGAATTGAGTGACTCTATTGGATCTTGTTATAGTGTCGGATTTGACTCTCCTATCTTCAATGTCTTTCTTTGTGTTATTCTTGTGAAATTATTTACAAACATCATCACTGTCCGTACAGGGTAAAATGTCAGAACAATAAAATCTAATTTCTGACAAATGTCTTTCCTCTATTGCACAACCCCTCGCAAACATGATTCAATCACACTAAAAGATGCAAAAAGGAACATTCCTGAATAAACCAGGTTGTTGTTCCCAGTGTCTTTGAGACATTGGTGCCAACTTGTTGTGGGAGGTACCTAGCCGCCTGGTGGACACCACATGTTTCCTGTCCACAGGGAGGTCACACACGAGAGATGATACATTTTGCTGCTACTGTGCATCAATGGTGAATAAAATGAATGTTGAAGGTGACGCCAAAAGTGCTCTTTTGTCCCAGATGGTATCAAGCTCGAGTGTTACTGAAGTTGCAATCCTCCAGGCAAGTGGAGACCATTCCACGTCACACTTGACTTATGTCTTGTAAACGGTGGCAGTCAGGAGGTGAGTTGTTTGCTGCTAGATTTTTAGCCGCTACCCTGCTCTTGTATCGATTGTATTTGTATGGTTAGTCCTGTTCAGTTTCTGGTCAATAGTAGCCCCCAGGATGTTGATTGTGGAGGATTCAATAATGGTAACGCTGTTGAATGTTATGGAGTGATACTCAGATTCTCTCTTGCTGAAGGTGGTCATTGCCAGGCAACTACATGATACAAAGAACAAAGAGGAATACAGCACAGCAACAGGCCCTTCGGTTCTCCAAGCCTGCACCAACATATTTTGCCCTTCCACACTAAAACTGTCTTCACTTACAGGATCCATATCCCTCTATTCCCTTCCTATTCATGTATTCATCCAGGTGCTTCTTGAATGCTGCTATGGTGTCTGTTTCCACCACCACCTCTGGCAATGTGTTCAGACTCTCACCACCCTTTATGTGAAAATCTTGCCTCGCACATCTCTTTTAAATTTCCCCCTTACACCTTGAACATGTATCCCCTTCTAATTCACCCCTCCATCCTGGGAAAAAGCCTCATACTTTCCACTCTATCCATGCCATTCACAAACTTATAAACTTCTATCAGGTTGCCCCTCAACCTCCTGCATTCCAGTGAAAACAAATCCAGTCTATCCAACCTTTCATCATTGTAAAATCCCCCATACTAGACAACACCCTGGGAAACATTTTTTGTACCCTCTCCAAAGCATCTGCATCCATCTGGTAGTGTGGTGACCAGAACTGTACACAATATTCCAAGTGTGACCTAACTAAAGATCTGTAAAGCTGCAGCATAACTAGTCTATCCTTATACCCAATGCCCCTTCCAATCAAGGCAAGCATACCATAAGCCTTTTTTACTACATTATCTACCTGCACTGCCACCTTCAGTGATCTATGGACCTGCACACCCAGATCCCTCTGCATATCAATATTCCTAAGGGTCTGCCACTCATTGAATAATTTCCACCTGTACTTGACCTTCCACATTGCATCACATCACATTTGTCCAGATTAAACTCCATCTACCATTTTTCTGCCCAGCCTCGAACTGAACTATATCCTCTGACAATCCTCCTCACTATCTGCAACTCCACCAATCTTTGTATCATCCACAAACTTGCTAATTATATCAGTTACTTTTTCCTCCAAATCATTTACGTAGATCACGAATGGCAGAGGTCCCAGCACCGATCCCTGTGAAATACCATGAGTCACAACTTTCAATTCTGAAAAGCATCCTTCCACCCTACCATCTGTCTCTTATCACCGGCCAGTTCTGTATCCATCTTGCCAGCTCACCTCGATTCCAAGTGACTTCAGCTTTTGTACCAGTCTGCCATGAGGGACCTTGTCAAAGGCTTGACGAAAGTCCATTTAGATGACATCAACTGCTTTTCCCTCATCAATCATCTACATCACTTCCCAAAAAACTCAATCAAGTTTGTGAGGCCATGACCTCCCGCGCACAAAATCATGCTGTCTATCGCCAGTAAGTCCATTTGCTTCAAAATGCGTATGGGCCTTGTACCTGAGAATTTTTTCCAATAATTTCCCTACCACCGACGGGATGCTCACAGGCCTGTAATTTCTATGATTAGCCCGATTACACTTCTTAAACAATGGAACGACATTGGCTATTCTCCAGTCCTATGAGACCACAGCTATGTCCAAAGAGTTTACAAAAATATCTGTCAACGCTCCAACAATTTGTTCTCTTGCCTCGCTCAATATTCTGGGATAGATCCCATCAGGACCTCGGGTCTTATCTACCTTAATACTTTTTAAGACGCACAACATATCTTCCTTTATAATATCAACTTGGCTTAGAACCTCGACACTCCCTTCCGTGAGATCATCCTCTGCCAATTCCTTCTCTTTGGTGTGTACTGACACACAGTATTAGTTTAGGACCTCAGCCTACGTCTTCTGGATCCACACATAGATCCCCTCCTTTGTCCTTGAATGGTCCAACCCTTTCCCTGGTGACTCCCTTGCTTTTTATGCATGTGTAAAAAGCCTTGGGATTGTCCTTAATCCCATTTGCTAATGACTTTTAATGATCCCTTCTAATTCCTTGTTTATGTTATTTTCTACTTTCCTGAGATACTTCAAGCGCGTTTGCAATTCCCATCCTCCCAGACCTTACATATGTTTCCTTTTTGTTTCTGACCAAGGTCAGAACATTCCTGGTCATTGAAGGTTCACGTAACTTGTCATACCTATCCTTCATTCTCACAGGAACATGCTGCTCCTAAATTCTTATAAACTGCCTTTTGAAATTCTCCGACATGTCCAATGTTGACTTACCCTCAAACAGCCGCCTCCAAACAACACTCTTCAGTTCCTCCTTAATATTGTTGTAGTTTGCCTTCCCCTAATTTAAAACCTTCACCCAAGGACTGCTGTTATCCCTATCCATGAGTATCTTATAACTCAATATTATGGTCACTACTCCTGAAATGCTGAACCACTGAAACTTCATTCACTTGGGCCGGACTCAGTTCCTAAAATTAGGTCCATAATAACCCCTTCCCTGGGTGGACTGTTTACATGCTGTGTCAAGAAATTCTCCTGAATGGCCCTTAGAAATTCTATTCCATTTAAGCCCCTAGCACATAGTCAGTGCCAATCAATACAGGAGAAGTTAAAATTACCCACAACAACAAATCTGCTGTCTTTACATTTTCCCAAAATCTGTCCACATATTATCTCCTCTATCTCCCACTGGCTGTTAGGAGGCCTGTAGTATACCCCAGCACTGTGATTTCACCTTTCCTATTCCTGAGTTCTACACAAATTACCTCACTGCATGAGTCGTCTAATGTATTCTCCCTCAGTACAGCTGTGAGATACACCTTTACCAGTAATGCAACTGCACCACCCCTTTTACCATCCTTTCTATTACACCTAAAACATCTAAATCCTGGGACATTCAGCCGCCAGTCCCGTCCCTCTTTCAGCCACGTCTGTGTAATTGCAAATAATGTCATAGTTCCAACTACTAACCAAACGATTGTTACTTGCCACTTATGCTGATTTTGGATGCTGTCCAAGTCTTGCTGCATACGGCTATGCACTACTTCAGTATCTTCAGTCGCAAATGGTGCTGAATGTTGTGTAATCTTCAGCCAACATCCCCACTTCTGAAGGGAAAGTCATTGATGAAGCAGCTGAAAATGGTTGAGCTAAGAACCCTGAGGAACTCTCCTCTCGCTCAGAAGGCCTGGATTCTCACGTCCTACCTGCTCCAGAGGTGTGACATAACACGTCTGAACAGGTTGATTAAAAATATTTCCTGCAGGCAAGTTCTGGGGTTAAAGGAGACTGTTGTTTGGTGCAAATATCACCTGTGCGTGCAGCTGCTGAAAAAGATCTAGCCCGGGGCTCTGAAAAAGATGCACATTGGACTGAAATCGTTAATTCTGTTTTTCTCTCTGCACAGAAGCTGCCAAACCGGCTGAGTTCCCCCATCACTTTCCGTTCTGGTCTCAGATTTCCAGCATCTGCAGGATTCGCCTTCGAGCCCCGCCCCGTGCAATGACGTCACCGAACGCTCCCGCGCATGCGCCCAGAACTCCGGCCAAGATGGCAGCTGTACACCGAGCAGTGTTCCCGGGGAGAAGACTCGAAACTGGAGAGAACTAACCTGCAGCTTCTTTTTCCAAGGTACCCATCTCTCGCTGGACGGGGTTTCTAAATCTCTTACGATTCCGCCCACCCCGCCCCACGGATCCTTACCGCCTGCAAAGGGACTTCTCCGCATCGCCACCGCTTCCACTGCGTAGATAAAGCCGGCACTGCGCCTGCGCCTGCGCCTGCACCCCTCTCTCCTGCGGTGTGGATGAAATCAAGTCACACAACACTAGGTTATAGTCCAAAAGGTTTATTTGAAATCATTGCACCTGCAGTTCTGTCGGTTTTTATTTGAAATCACAAGCTTTTGGAGCGCAGCCCCTTCGTCAGGTCCAGTGGGAGGACAGCACCACAGACGCATAGTTTACAAGCAGAGAGATCAAAGGATCATACAACTGGTGTCAGTGAACAAGTCTAAAATGGCTGGCTGACTGACTGCCTCCTGTTAAATCTTTAATCATTCATACATGGCTGCATTCCAGAAATTGCAGAAGCAGGGTACTGGAGAACCCTGGTTTTCTTTTCTGTTCATTTGTGGGATGTGGGCATTGCTGGCTGCCCAGCATTTATTGCCCATCCCTGGTTGCCTTTGAGAAGGTGGTGATGAGCTGCCTTCTTGAACCTCTGCAGTCAACCTCCAATGAGTTGACTCACAATGCCATTATGGAGGGAATTCCAGGATTTTGAGCCAGCAATAGTAAAGGAAAGGCAATATATTTGCAAGTCAGGACGGTGAGTATCTTGGAGGGGAATTTGAAGGTGGTGGTGTTCCCATATGTCTGCTGCCCTTGTCCTTCGGCTTGGAAGGTGCTGTCTGAGGATCTTTGGTGAATTTCTGCAGTGCATTTTGTAGATAGTACACACAGCTGCTACTGAGCGTCGGTGGTGGAAGTAGTGGATGCTATTAGTTTTGATTGATTAAGATGCAAATTCCAGAATCTGTTTCAACTCATTGCCTGGAGATAATTAAAGGTTTCATCAGTGTCTGCCAAACTTCAAAATGGCAGAGCGATACGGATATACAATAGGTGACATCTCAGGACAGACACTGAATTGTAGGTGTGGTGCCTTGTCCAGAGTTTTAACCTGAAATCAGGCTGATTTTGTTCCAAAAATAGGAATGTATAAAATGCCACACTGACTGACTGTGAGTATAAATTGTGTGTTTCTCGAACATAATAGAACGTATCGGCAAATAAACAGACATCTTGGGATGAAATGATCTCTCACACGCACACACACGCTCTCTCACAAACACACACACACAAACCTATTGTGAGAGAGCATGTTTGTGTGTGTGAGAGAGATCGTTTCATCCAGTCAGTGTGGCATTCTTGCCTTTGGAACAAACCTAGCCTGATTCCAGGTTAAAACTGAGACTTTGGACAAGATGTCACATGTACAATTCAGTGTTTGACCTGATATGTTACCTACTGTATATTCTTATCATTCTGCCTGTTTGAAGTTTGGAAAGTTAGGCAGACGCTGATGAAACCTATAATTATCTCAGAGCAGTGACTTGAAACAGATTCTGGAATTTGCATCTTAATCAATCAAAACTATAGCATTCTCCGTATCCTGCTTATGCAGTTTCTAGAATGCAGGAATGTATGAATGATTGAAGATTCAACAGGAGGCAGTTAACTCACACCAGTTGAATGATCCTTTGATCTCTCTGACTATAAACTCTGTGTCTGTGGTACTGTCCTCTCACTGCATCTGACAAAGGGGCTGCGCTCATAAAGCTTGTGATTTCAAATAAACCTGTTGGACTATAACCTGGTGTCATGTGATTTTTGACTTTATCCACCCCATTCCAACACTAGCACTTCCGCATCCAGTGGTGTGGCTAGAAAATATTCATCATGACAGGCGATGCTTAGTACTTACCCTGCCATTGACTTCAATTATTACTGAAGATTGATTGTTCTATCTTAATATTTTTCTCCTTCCTGCATTTCAAGCCTCTGCTGTCCAAATGCTCTTTGGAAGAACAATATTGGCAGATAGAAGAACGTCCTAAACTTGGATACATCTATCAAATCTCTCAATCCTACTCTACAACATTTCCTTGACATTGAAATAGCTCATCCCTCTAATGATTTTATAAATTCTTGTCCTGAACAGGTGGTGATGGATTTTGGAAACTCCTTTGACAGCTGGATGTTTAGCAAGAGAAATGTTTGTCTCTTCTGAATGTCTCGACTGATACATATTTCTTTTGTCATCTCATTTTACAGAGAAATGGAAGGTATGAAAACCGAAGTATTTCTCTGATTCCAGTTCTGCTGTGTTCGCAGCTGCAAGACCCAGCAGAAGATTTTACATTTTGTAACGATGAAATTGTTTCAGAGGTGAGTATTATTGAGCATTCATTTACAATTCAATGCTTATCTTGCTCTGCTGTGGTTCATGGGTCTGGGTGTGGTGTGATCCCCTTACTGTGGATCTGAATCCATGTCCATCCATTGCTCTGATTCATCTCTGCCCTCCCTGATAATGTCTTTGCCATTGTTCAACCTTATCTACATTTAATAATGAATGCTTTTAACCCTCTGTGATAATTTATCTTTATTTCTTCGGTTGTGTTTAAATCAGAGTTCCATTACTGCTGAGTTCCCAGCTATGTGCTACTGATTCATTCACTTGCACACATGTGGCCTTCCTTGCTTTTGCACAGGCCTCACTCACAAACAGTCCTCTAACTCCCAGAAGCTTCTCCTTGCTTCTATTCTTTGTGCTCTCTCTTTCTCTCGCCTTGCTCCCTCTTACACCTTCTCTTCCCTTCTGCGGTCTTCCTCTCCAGCCCATTTCTCTTTCTCTGTCTGTCTGTCTCTCTCTCTCTCTCTCTCTCTCTCTTTCTTTCTCTCTGTCGTCCCTTAGACGCCAGATTCTTGTGTAGGTCCAGCCTGGGTGGCAGTTATCCTTCTCTGATGGACACTTGTGAAAGAGTTACACAGAACATAGAACAGTATAGCACAGGAACAGGCCCTTCAGCTCACGATGTTGTGCCGAACATGACGGCAAATTTAATTAATCCCTTCTGCTTGCCCTTGTTCCATATCCCTCCATTCCTTACACATTCATGTGCTTATCTAAAAGTCTGTTAAACACCCCTATCGCATTCGCCTCCATAACCACCCCTGGCAGGGCATTCCACACCCCTACCGCTCTGTGTGAAAAGAACTTCCCTTGCACATCTCCTTTGAACTTTCCTTCTCTCAACTTAAATGCAAGCCTCTAGTTTTACACATTTCAACTCTGGGAAAAAGATTCTGGCTGTCGACTCCACTATGCATCTCATAATTTTATAGACTTCTATCAAGTCTCCCCTCAACCTCTGCTGCTCCAGAAAAAACGGCCGAATTTTTCCAGCCTCTACTTACAGCTCATACCTTCATATCCAGGCAGCATCCTTGCAAACTTCTTCTGCACACCCTCCAAAGCCTCCACATCCTTCCTGTATGTGGCGACCAGAACTGAACACAATACTCTAAATGTGGCCTAACCAAGTCTTATAAACCTGCAATATGACATCCAGACACTTGTGATCAGTTCCCAGAACAACAAAGGCAAGCATGCCATATGCCTCCTTTAACACCCTATCTACTTGGTGGCCACTTACAGGGCACTATGGACTTGAACCGCAAGATTCATCTGTGTATTAATGCTGTTCAGCATCCTGCCAGTAACTGTATACATTTCCTTAACATTTGATCTCCCAAAGTGCAGCACCTCACACGACCTGGATTAAACTCCTACTTGCCATTTCTGCACCATGTCTGCAACTGATCTATATCCCACTGTATACTTTGACAACCTTCTACACCATCCACAACTTCGCTAATCTTTGTATCATACGCAAACTTACTAACCCACCCATCCACATTTTCATCCAAGTCATTTTCTGTATCACAAACAGCAGAGGTCCCAATACAGATTCCTGCAGAACACCACTAGCCATGGACCTCCAGCCTGAAAAAAACCACCCTTCAGGCACTATCCTCTGTCTTCTAAGGGTCAGCCACTTCTGAATCCATGCGGCCAGGTCACTGTGGATGCCATGCATCTTAATCTTCTGGTTGAGTCTACCATGAGGGACCTGGTTGAAAGCTTTACTAAAATCCATGTAGACAACATCCACTGCTCTACCCTCATCGATCACCTTTGTCAACTCCTTGAAAAATTCAATCAAGTTAGTAAAACATGACCTGCCCCGCACAAAGCCACGCTGACTATCCTTAGTGAGGTCATGCTTTTCCAAATGCATGTAAATCCTATCCCTAAGAATTTCTCTCCGACGGCTTCCCAACCACCGATGTGAGACTCACCAGCCTATAATTTCCTAGATTATTCCCACTTCCCTTCTTGAACTGAAGAACAACATTAGCTACTCACTAATTCTCCAGAAGCCCTCCAGTGGTTAACGAGGATACAAAGATCTTTCCCAAGGCTCCAGAAGTCTCCTCTCTTAATAACCTGGTGTACATACCATCAGGCCTTAATGCTCTTCAAGAGACCCAACACCACTTCTTTCTTCATCTCAAAATGCCCTAGCCTATTTGCATGCTCCACAAAAATCCCACTATCCTCCATATCCTTCTCCTGAGTGAATATTGACACAAAGTACTCATTTAGAATCTCACCCACATCCTCTGCCTCCAAGCATGATTTCCTTCCTTTATCCTGGAGTGGTTCTACCTTCTCCCTCGTTATCGATCATGACCCCACCCCTGACCACCAAACCATCATCTCTCAAACCATTCACAACCTCATCACCTCAGGTGTCCTCCCACCCACAGTCTCCAACCTCATCATTCCCCAGCCCCGCACCATCCGTTTCTATCTCCTTCCCAAAATCCACAAACCTGACTGCCCCAGCCAACCCATTGTCTCTGCCTGCTGCTGCCCCACTGAACTTCTCTCCGCTTACCTTGACTCTGTATTTTCCCCCCGGTCCAGGAACTCCCACCGACGTCTGGGACACCACCCACCCCCTCCACCTCCTCCAAGACTTCCAATTCCCTGTTCCCCAACACCTCATCTTCACTATGGACATCCAATCCCTGTACACTTGTATTCCCCATGCGGACGGCCTAAAAGCCTTCTGTTTCTTCCTCTTCCGCAGGCCCAACCAGTCCCCCTCCATCGACACCCTCATCCGCTTCACTGAACTCATCCTTACCCTTAACTTCTCTTTCATCTCTTCCCACTTCCTACAAACTAAGGAGGTGGCCATGGGCACCTGCATGGGCCCAAGCTCTACCTGCCTCTTCGTAGGATACGTGGAACAGTCCCTCTTCTGCTGCTACACTGGCACTATCCCTCACCTCTTCCTCCGCTACATTGATGACTGTATCGGCACTGCCTCATGCTCCCAACAGGAGCTTGAACAGTTCATCAACTTTATTTACACCTTTCACCCCAACCTCAAATTCACCTGGACCATCTCCGATACCTCCCTCTCCTTCCTGGACCTCTCTGTCTCCATCTCTGGTGACCGCCTCAAAACCGACATCTATTTCAAGCCCACCGACTCCCACAGCTACCTAAACTACACCTTCTCTCACCCACCTTCCTAAAAGAAAGCAATACCCTACTCCAATTCCACCCCCTCCGCCATGTCTGCTCCCAAGATGGAGGGGTTCCAGATGTTCCCCTATTTCAAGGACCGTAACTTCCCCCACACCCCCCTCCCGTGATCAAAAATGCCCTCAACCATACCTCTTGCGTTTCCCACACCTCTGACCTCACATCACCTCCCCCTTACAAAAATAAAGACAGAATCCCCCTGGTCCTCGCATTATCACTCCACCAACCTCTGCATCCAGCGTATCATTCTCCACCACTTCCGCTACCTACAATCTGACTCCACAACCAAGGATATATTTCCCTCCCCACCCCTATCCGCCTTTCGTAGGGACCACTCCATGAGTCCCTCGTCTGCTCCACATTCTCCACTAACCCCACCACCTCGGCACCTTTCCCTGCAACCGCAGGAATTGCTACACCTGGCCCTACACCTTCCCCCTCACCTCTATTCAAGGCACAAGACAAACCTTCCACATCAGGCAGGAGTTCACCTGCATATCCGTCAACTTGGCCTACTGCATCCGCTGCTCCCGATGTGGCCTCCTCTACATTAGTGAGACCAAGCAGTGACTCAGACCGTTTTGTAGAGCATCTGCGCTCTGTATGGGACAAACGACAACACTTTCTGGTCGCAAACCATTTCAACACCACCTCCCACTCCCTGGGTGAAATGTCTATCCTGGGACTCCTCCAGTGTCACAATGACGCCAACCGCAAACTGGAGGGACAGCACCTCATATTCCGCCTTGGGAGCCTATCACCCGATGGACTCAACATGGAATTCACCAGCTTTAAAATCTCCCCACCCCTGGTCTCATCCCATGTCCAGCCTTCCCTCTCATCCCTGCCTCCTTGACCTGACACAACCTGTCCATTTTCTCTCCTGCCTGTCTGCCCCTCCCACCTCACTGACCAATCCACACCACTCCCACCTACTTTCTCCAGCCCTAGCCCTCCTCTCTCTATTTATTTCTGAGTTCCCTTCCCCCTGAAGCAGGGTCCCCACCCGAAACGTCAATTTTCCTGCTCCGGTGATGCTGCCTAACCTGCTGTGTTTGTCCAGCTCCACACTTTGTTATCTCTGACTCCAGCATCTGCAATTCTTGCTATCCCTAGTTATCGTCTTGTTTTTGACGTATGGATAGAATGCCTTGGGATTCTCTTTAACCTTACTTGTCAAAGTAATTTCATGGCCCCTTTTTGCACTCTTAATTCCCTGCTTGAGTTCTTTTCTGCTTTCTTTATATTCCTCAAAGGCCCTGTCCAAATTTAGCTTCCTAAATCTTACAAATGCTTCTTTTTTCATTTTGACTAAATTCACAAACTGCCTCATTATCCAAGAGTCCCTTATCATGCCATCCTTGTCCTTCCTCCTTACTGGAACATGCCAGTCCTGAACTCTCATCAGTAGGCCTTTAAACAATTCCTACATGTCAAATGTGGACTTGCCTGATAACAGTTCCTCTCTAGCTTCTACCCAATACTGTCCTAATTTGCCCTCCCCAATTTAGTATCTTGCCACAAGGTCCTGCTTATTCTTATTCATAGCTATCTTAAAACATAACGAGTTGTGATCACGGTTTCCAAAATGCTCTCCCACTGAAAGGTCAGTCACTTGGCCAGTCTCATTTGCCAATACAACGTCCAGTGTGGTCCTCCTCTAGTTGGACTGTCTTCATACTGTTTCAAGAAGCCCTCTTGAATGCACTTAACAAATTCTGCCCCATCTAAGTCTCTTGCTGTAAGGGAGTCCCAGTCAATATTGGGGAAATTAAAGTCACCCACTATGACAACTCTATTTTTATTGCTTATTTCCATAATCTGCCTAAATATTTGTTCCTCAATGTCCTGGTGGCTGTTGGGGCCTGTAGAATAATCCTATCAGAGTGACTGCACCCATATTATTTTTGAGCTCCAGCCATATTGCCTCGGTGGATGAACCCTCCAGTGTGTCCTCTGAGTGCAGATGTAACATTCTCCATGATTAGTCGTGCAACTCCTCCACCTTTTTTACTTTCCTCTCCATCTCATCTAAAACAACAAGTTCAGTTACTACATCAACTCAGCAGCTTTCATTCTCACTTTTTCTGAGTGCCATTCCTGAAAATTACCAGACTCATTGAGCTCAATTTCACAACCTGATTTTTCTGTTTTGTGGGTTCTCTCTTCCTTTTTAAGTCAATTTATCAGAATGTTAGAAGAGGAAGATTTGCAGTTGGGAAATTCAAGTCAAACATCAAATCAGGATATGATGGCTTTTTTGAATTTGTCACAACTTGAATATCAATGGACATTGAACATTGAAGGGGGAAAAAAACATAAATCTGGGAGAAAGCACTTTTGTGTTCTGTGTGTGGAAAAGGCTTCAGACAATCTCTGGCCTCAAGAACCACAAGTACACACACAATTAGAAGAAAATGTGGCAATGTAGGGATTATGGCAAAGGATTCAGGTCCCCATCTGAGCTGGAAATTCAGCAATACAGTCATGGTGGGGCGAGGCCATTCAGCTGCTTAAAGTGGGGGAAAAGATTCATGCAGCCATCCATCTTGCTGACACACCAGTGAGTTGACATTCAGAAGAGGCCTCTTCAATGTGCAAATTGTGGGAAGTGCGATAAAAGTTCCAGCAATCTGATGTCCCATCAATGTGTTCACACTGACGACAGGCCTTTTAAATGCCTAAACTGTGAGAAGTGTCATTAAAAGTTCTGGGGAACTTATGGCCCATCAACATGTTCATACCTTTAAATGCTCAGACTGTGTAAAATGCGATAAAGGTTCAGGGAACTGATGCGCCAATGATAAGTTCACACTGACAAGTGACCTTTTAATTCTGGGTGGCACGGTGGTTCAGTGGTTAGCACTGCTGCCTCACAGCACCAGGGACCCGGGTTCGATTCCACCCTCGGGCGACTGTCTGTGCGGAGTTTGCACATTCTCCCCGTGTGTGCGTGGGTTTCCTCCGGGTGCTACGGTTTCCTCCCACAGTCCAAAGATGTGCAGGGTAAGTGGATTGGCCATGCTAAATTGCCCATAGTGCCCAGGGAGGTTTAGTTTAGGTGGGTTAGACATGGGAAATATAGCGGAATGGGACTGGGTGGGATGCTCTTCGGAGGGGCGGTGTGGACTTGTTGGGCTGAATGGCCTGTTCCAGCACTGTAGTGATTCTGTGATTCTAATTGCCTGAACTGTGGGAAGTCCTATATAAGCTCCAGAGGACTTAAGTACCATTAGCATGTTCACGCTGACAAAAGATCATTTCAGTGCACAGACTGTGGGAAGTGCCATAAAACATCTGGGGAACTGATAATCCATCAGTATATTGGATGCTGTCACTGTGGGGCTGGTTTCGGGGGTCATCTGACCTAACTGTACATCAGAATGTTCAACTGGGGAGAGACATTCTCCTGCATGGAGTGTGGGAAGAGATTCATTCAGTCATCCTATCTGCTGAGTCACCAGTGAGTTCACTCCAGGGAGAGGCCATTCAGCTGCACGAAGTCTGGAAAGTGACACTCTGTATCATTTGCCCTTCAGACCCACCAGTGAATTCACAAAAAGGAGAGGCCTCTTAAAGACCCTGGCTGCAGGTAGTGCTATAAATCGTTCTGTGAACTGATAATGTGATCCACAGGAGTCCGAGTCAGAAAAAGGATCAGAAAAATAAGTTGGAAGGTTGGGAATGAGGTGAATGAAATAGGAGGGGAAAAATAAAAACAGTGCAGTAATTGAACTGAATGGCTTGTATGTTTATTTCATATTTTAAATATTTTGATTTAAATTCCTTTAACAGGGTATGCAGAAGGTTGTATTTACAAACCAGAAATAACACATCAAAATCTGCCAGTCACTTAATCCAACAGGATCTGAACATCATTGGCCTCTGAATGTCGAAGGAGAAATGATGTCTGTGAGAGAAGAATTTAATCATCAATGTGACTGCAAAAGCACCGAGACACAGACACACGTGAGTGAGAGTGTTCCAGTGAAATGATTGTGGAAAGAGCATTAACTAGCCTGAAAAATAATTACACCATCCACAACGGGGAGAGACGATCAATGTGCTCTGCCTGTGGACATCAATTTCAGTCAATCGTTGAACCTGGAAAGACTCAAGGACACTGACACCATGGAGAAACCATGGAAATGTGGGGTATGTGGGAAGGGATTCAGTTATCCATCAGGGTTGGAAACCCATCAACGCAGTCACACTGGGGAGAGGCCTTTCAGTTGCTCTGTGTGTGGGAAGGGATTCACTCAGTCATCCAGCCTCTACACACACCAGCATGTTCACACTGGGGAGAAGCCATTCACCTGCTCCATGTGTGGGCAGGGATTTAATGCTTTATCAACCCTCCGGACTCACGAGCAGGTTCATTCTGATGAGAGACCATTTAAATGTTCTGACTGTGAGAAGAGTTTTAAAAGCAGAAAAGATATATTGATACATCAACGTAGTCACACTGGGGAGAGACCATTCACCTGCAAAGTGTGTGGGAAAGGATTCACTCAGTCATCCCACCTCCTGACACACAAACTTGTTCACACAGATGAGAGACCCTTTAAATGTACGGACTGTTTGAAGAGTTTTAAAAGTAAAAAAGATTTGCTGAACCACCAACGTGCTCTGACGGGGGAGAAACCATTCATCTGCTCTGTGTGTGGGAAGGGATTCACTAGTTCATCCTACCTTCTGACACATCAATTTGTTCACACTGATGAGAGACCTTTTGGATGCCCTGACTGTGAGAAGAAATTTAAAAGCAGAAAGCATCTTCTTAAACACCAGTACATTCACACAGGGGAGAGGCCGTTCCCCTGCTCTGTCTGTGGGAAAGGATTCACTCGATTATCCCACCTGCTGAGACACCATCGAGTTCACACTGGGGAGAGGCCATTCTCCTGTGCTGACTGCAAACAAGAATTTGTTGATTCATCCGACCTTCTGATTCACCAGCGAGTTCACACTGGGGAGAGACCATACACCTGCTCCCTGTGTGGCAAGAGATTCACGCAATCATCTCACCTCACTACACATCAACTTGTTCACACTGATGAGAGACCTTTTCAATGTTCCGACTGTGAGAAGAGGTTCAAAAGTAAACAGAATTTGCTGAAACATCAACAAATTCATGCTGGGGAGGGACCGTACATCTGCTCCATGTGTGGGAAAGAATTCGCTCAGTCACACAACCTCCTGAGACACCAGCAGCTTCACCTACGAGAGCAGCAATTGGATTCTGCTGTTAACTGCACCCAGGACTGAACCTTGTCTGGCTGCCCGTTTCCAGTGGGTTCCACAGTTTTGTGGTGTATATATCAAGGATTTCGACTTCAATTTAGGGGCTATGGTGAAGAAGTTTGTAGATATCACAGAAGTTGGCCATGTGGTGGACAATGAGGAAGAAAGCTGCGACTGCATGATGACAATGGACTACTCAAATGGACGGTAACATGGCCAATAGAATTCATTCTGGAGATAATAAACTTGGGAGGGTGGGGGCAAACGGGGCAAGAAAATGCACAATAATTGGTTGGATACTGGGAATTGTACAGAAACAGCAAGACCTCAGAGTGACGCCCACAGATCCCTGAAGGTGGCTGGGCAGGTTGATAAGGAGACAGAGATAGTAGGAACTGCAGATGCTGGAGAATCCGAGACAACAAGGTGCAGAGCTGCATTTGGTTGATCCTAGAAAATGTCAGTCAGGAGATTATGCTGGAACTTTAAAAAACACTAGTTAGAGCATAGCTGGTGTACTGAGGGCAGTTCTGTTTGACATGTTAATCAACAAGAAAGTGAAACTTGATTAATTATCGTAATACTCGAGTGAGTTTGATATTTATATAATTAAAGTTAGTGTTAAATTCATCAAATGTTGCTGATCAAGATAAAGCTAACATAAAAGGGTTTGTAGCAACGGAGACTTGTGAATTTTTTTAGCAATTCAAAATCTGTCATGTTTAGATAATATGGATGTAAGAAAAAATATTTTGGTGAACTCCCTAAAAAGTAAGATAACTTGCAGAATGGAAGAAATTGATTAGTGAGTAGCTGATGAATCTTTATTTATTTTAATCTGAAGTTTATTTTGGTTTAGTTAAGAAATAAACACATATCCCAGTACCACATACACTTCCATGTGGGGAAACCAGGACACTACTTGTGTCTGGGACAACCATAAGAACAGGGAGGCAACTCTGTATAACTGTTGGGAACACTAAATTGACCGCAGCTAAAGTACTGCACTAGTTCAGGACCCCATATTCTAGAATAGATGTGATTACACCAGAGAGGGCACAGAGGAGATTGATGAGAATGTTTCCGGGATTGGAGAATTTTAGATCTGAGGAAAGATTGGATAGGCTGGGGTTGTTTTCTGTGGAACAGAGGAGACTGAGGTGAGATTTAATTGAAGTGATATGATAATGAGGAGTCCAAATAGAGTGGTTAGGAATAAGCTATTCATTAACAGAGAGGTCAGTAACTGGAGGTTTCCGGTTTAAAGTCATTCACAGCAAGAGAGGAAGGAGAGAAATTATTTAATCCAGAGATAGTGGGGAGCTGGAAGGCTCTCTGATCGGTGGTAGAGGCAAAAACCCACATCACATTAAAATGAAACAAGATGGATACACTTGAAATCCGAGAACACAGGGCTATGGTCTAAGATCAGCAGAATGGGATCAGCTGGGATAGTTCTCCTTCCGTCAACAAAAGCACTATAGTCCAAGTGGCCTCCATCTGTGCTGTAACTTGCCGATTTGTTTATTCTGACAATTAGAATTTGTTTCTGATGATGTTAATGACTTCACAAATTGGACCGGAGTTGAATATTCTGGAGAAATGTCAAATAAATCATCTTTGGTTCAAATACGTCACTGTAAATTGTTGATTTCTCCCGAGTGTTTAATATCTCCTGGAGCTCAAAAGGACAGTATCGGGCAAGGATTATATGGCAGCAACAGAACTTCACCCTGGACACATCTTTCAGGGTCACAATGATGGGGACAAATAGCACTTTGGTCTTCATCTCTCTTCACTGACATCAAAGCACTGGTGTAGATTAATCCTGCAATGTGTAAGAAATGTGTCCCAGCCATGGTATTTCATGGCTCAGAGTTCTAGCCATGGAACAGAATCTCACTTACAACTGTGTTTAGAGTCAGTGGAAGAACAACAGTGAGTGCTGGAAATGTGCTTCAAATCAGGGATTAGTGTAAAACTGTGATCAGTTCCTGAATGGAAGTGAACCTGCAGGTTTAAGTTTCCCCTACATTGTTTTATCTATATCAGTGTTTGGCAATCCAAGCTGAGCTACAAATTATACTTCACCAACAGTGTGACCATGGGGTAGGTTGACAAAACATTTAACTTTCATTTTTAAATAACCCTACATAGATAGGTCAGGAGGGGGTATAATAGAGGACAGTGTTGGGGTTGGGAAATGTTCATTCTGAAGGAGTCTCACCTGAAAATGCCTGCATTATCACTTTCTATTCACGTGGAACCTATCCCCATGTTTGTTCTTTTCAGTTTTCCAGAATTTGATTTTTTTTTCTTAAATCTCTACTAAATCATGGTATTGTTGTAACACTGAAATCCTGAGGGTTTCAACTCTTTGTTAAAGCCAATCCCCATTCAGTACAGGAGGATTTGACGCCCTCACTTTTTATGGTCTCAAGAGACAAGGGTCTTGCGAGGTGTTTATAAAAACAAAGTGCTGGAAAAAGTCAGCAGGTCTGGCACCATTGTGGAGAAATAGTTAATGTTTCAATTCCAGTGATGATTCTTCAGAAGGTATTGCACAGAGGCTTCCAGACCTGTTGACTTTCTCCAACAGTTTTAATTGTTATTTCAGATCACAGATGTACAGTGTCTACCCCATGTGAATGTGTGCATATACAACAATGTTTTGAATGTTTACAAAACCAAGTCATCCAGATCCACAATTTTATTAACATTTTAACTGACAAAGACCATTGTTCATTCCTTGGTGTGAATAAGAGAAAACAAATCCTTCAACTGTGGTTATTTACGAAGTTCGCTGATGTCTCAACAGGTTGGATGATTGAGTGAATGCTATCCCAAAATCAGAGCAAGTGAATGGTCTCTCTCCAGTCTGAACTCGCTGGGGTGTTACCAGGTTGGATGTCTGACTGAATCCCTTCCCACACACAGAGCAGGTGAACAGTTTCTCCCCAGTGTGAACTCGCTGGTGTTCAGCAGGTCAGATGATTCTGTGAATGTCTTCCCACAATCGGGGCAGGTGAATAGCCTCTCCCCAGTGTAACTGTTGGTGAGTTTCCAGCTAGGATGGGTAAAAAAAATCCCTTCCCACAACTCCTGCATTCCCAGTCTCCTGTGTGACTGCACTGGTGTTTGGACATTTCAGATAAATGCTGGCAGACTCTTTCACACACACAGTAGGTGTGTTTCTCCCCAGTGTTGGAAAGCGTTTTTTCCTTCCATGTTCAAAATCCTTTGATAATTTGGTTCCAATAAACAGAATGCCTGTCAGACCTGAATGTGGTTTTGTATAAATCTGCTAATTGTAAATCAACCCTTCAAACAGAAAACAAAGAATGGTGAGAGAAAATCCAGAAGAACACACACAGGTTGTGAAATTGAGAGCAACTAATCTGATCCTTTATGGAGCCAATACTTGTGGAGAAACATTACCATGTAAATTCTTAGATTATCATTAAAACCCAACATTAAAGTCAGTCAGTGTTTGCACAAAACTACAAAAGGAGAAGCAGACTGGGAGATACAGGACTGAAGGAGGAAACTGTTTTAGTCCCCACACCTTTTAATTACAATCGGTCCTAAGAACTAAGAACAAGATCAAAAGCAAAATGCTGGCAAAATGATGTGAAAACAGAAAATGCTGGAAACATCCATAAGATCTGGCAGCTTCTGAAGTTGTGATCGAGGTCAAAACCATCACTTTGTATTTAGGAAATCTGAATAACCTATTCACACCTCATCCAGACACATCTCATTGTCTTTACATCTCCATTATTACTCCCTTTGATTTTGCCACATGAAACGTTTTGTCAGTTAATTCAGCACTGATAGTACAGTCAGATAAACCCGGGTGGTAGGAAACATATTACAAACAAAGTCCTACGAGACAAAATGAGGAGCCATTCAAAGAAATGTGGGTTCATTCGGGAAAGCGAAAATAGTATTGTTCACAGAAAATCATGATTAACTCTCTCTCAATATTTTTGACGTGGCAAATATTTAAATTTATAGGATGAACATTGTCTGGCAAAAGCTATTTGATAAAATTATGTTACAGCCCAGTGAGCAAAACCTAGGTCGAAATGAATAAGAAGGACAGTATTAAAATCGATCTGAAATTAACTGAGTGACAGGAAACAAAGTCATTAACAGTTGTCTTTGAACTGGAGGTAGGTTTCTTGTGGAGTTAGTTTGATACTTGAGATATGCAAGATCAAGATAGTTCAGTAAAAAATGAAGAAATGCTGTTCCCGTTAGCAGGCAGTAAAAGGATTACAAGGCACAGGTTTCACGTTTTCAGCAGGAGATAAACAGAGTGGGAGGATAAGTAATATAAACTGTGAACAACAAAGTCATGGAGAACAACACTTACATTCAAAGTCTGATAACACCCAGATCCTGATTATTCAAATGTCACCATCAGAGTGTGTTGTGATTTTTTTTTTTGAAAACATCCACTTCCAACGTCCTGCAAAAGGAGATTATAAAAATAACCACTGTCACTCCAGGATAGAAAAGAAAGATGAACATTTTTCTTACTTTGGTTTTGCTTCATAGAATCATAGAAAGGTCAAGATATAGAAAGTGGCCATTAGGGCCATTGTGTCTGTGCCAGCTGAAAAATGAGCTACCCATCCCAGATAACACGGTGTAGAGCTGGATGAACACAGCAGGCCAAGCAGCATCAGAGGAGCAGGAAAGCTGACGTTTCGGTTCGAGACCCTTCTTCAGAAATAGGGGAGGGGAAGGGGATTCTGAAATAAATAGGGAGAGAGGGGGAGGCGGATAGAAAATGGATAAAGGAGAAGATAGGTGGAGAGGAGACAGACAGGTCACAGAGGCGGGGTTGGAGCCAGTGAAGGTGAATGTAGGTGGGGAGTTAGGGAGGGGATAGTCGGTCCAGGGAGGACGGACAGGTCAAGGAGGCAGGATGAGGTTAGTGAGTGGGAGATGGGGGTGGGGCTTGAGGGGGGTGGAATGGTTAGGGAGGCGGGGTCTAGCTGGGCTGGTTTTGGGATGCGGTCGGGGGAGGGGAGATTTTGAAGCTTGTGAAGTCCACATTGATACCCTTGGGCTGCAGGGTTCCCAAGCGTAATATGAGATGCTGTTCCTGCAGCTTTCGGGTGGCGTCATTGTGGCAATGCAGGAGGCCCAGGATGGACATGTCGTCCAAGGAGTGGGAGGGGGAGTTGAAATGGTTCGCGGCTGGGAGGTTTAGTTGTTTGTTGCGAACTGAGCGTAGGTGTTCCGCAAAGCGGTCCCCAAGCCTCCGCTTGGTTTCCCCAATGTCGGGGAGGCCACAACGGGAACAGCGGATACAGTATACCACATTAGCAGATGTGCAGGTGAACATCTGTTTGATGTGGAAGGTCTTCTTAGGGCCTGGGATGGGGGTGAGGGGGGAGGTGTAGGGGCAGGTGTAGCACTTGCTTCGGTTGCAGGGAAAAGTGCCGGGGGTGGTGGGGCTGGAGGGGAGTGTGGAGCGGACAAGGGAGTCACGGAGAGAGTGGTCCCTCCGGAAAGCAGATAAGGGTGGGGAGGGAAAAATGTCTTTGGTAGTGGGGTCAGATTGCAGATGGCGGAAATGTCGGAGGATGATGCGTTGGATTCGGAGGTTGATGGGGTGGTACGTGAGGATGAGGGGGATTCTATTTTGGTTGTTATTGCAGGTAGGGGGTGTGAGGGATGAGTTGCGGAAAATGCAGGAGACACGGTCGAGGGCATTTTCGACCACTGTGGAGGGGAAGTTGAGGTCCTTGAAAAAAAAGAGGACATCTGGGATGTCTGGGAGTGGAATGCCTCATCTCGGGAGCAGATGCGGCGGAGGCGAAGGAATTGGGAATAGGGGATGGCCTTTTTGCAGGAAGGTGGGTGAGAGGAGGTGTATTCCAGGTAGTTGTGGGAGTCCGTAGATTTGAAATGGATATCGGTTTCCAGGTGGATGCCAGAGATGGAGACAGAGAGGTCCAGGAAGGAGAGAGAGGTATCAGAGATGGTCCAGGTGAACTTAAGGTTGGGGTGGAAGGTGTTCCAGCCTACTTTGCAGCAATTGGCCTGTAACTCTCGAGAGTACAAAACTTTACGTGCCGATCCAGACACATTACACATGAATCAAGTCTTTCTGCCTCTTCTGTCATTTTTGTAAGTGAGTTCCAACCATCCTCTTGGAGAAAATATTTTTCCCTAATCTTTCAAAACCCTCAGCATTCTTCTTTGCACCCTCTCTGGTGCAATTCCATCATTTCTGTAAAATGAGGTGATCAGAACCACACACACTGCTCAACTTGTGGAATATGCCAATCGCCCAACATGAATAAACAACCAAGTACACCTCTTCCCGTTGCCCCACATAAAGACTGTGGTTGTAAACCCTGGACGTAACTCCGGTGTAAAGCCCCACTGCTGCAGAATCAGTGTAACCAGGGGACTGTGAACTTCCCAACCATGGCCTGATACTGACTCCGGGGGTGTCACAGTTTTGAACACAGCCCAGCTCATCATGAAAACCAGCCATTTTTCCATTCATTCCGTATACACTTCCCATTGCCTCTGGAAAGCAGCCAACATAATCAAAGACCCCTCCCACTCCAGATATATTCCCTTCCACCCTCGTCTGTCGAGCAGAAAATACAAAAGTTTGAAAACACATACTGACAGATTCAAGAACAGCTTCTCCCGCTGCAATCCTGCTTATGCACAGGCCTCTCATATTGGAGGTGATCTTTCTCAGCGCGTTTTTGTCGCTGCAACACAATATTCTGCATTCTGTTCTCTTGCCCTGATGTCATAATGTAAGGTATGATTTGTCCGGATAGCACACAAAAACAATACTTGTTACTCTATCTCTGTCCAAGTGACAATAATAAATCAGATCAGATCCAACATCCCCCCCCTCTCCATTGCTCTTCATTTACTGCTGTTTCTGAGCCAATGGGAATGAATGAGGGGCGGGGCTAGTCCGCCAACCAATGGACGTGAACGAAGTGCTTTGCGCATGCGCCATCGCAGCGGACCCGTTCCTGCGAAGATGGCGGCATCTAAGTCGGGTCCGATGAGAGCAAGACCCTGAGAAGCTGCCGCCAGATTAAATACCGTAAAGGTAGGTTTTATTTAACAATCACTGTCTTCTCGTCTCGGTGTGTTTCTGAATCTGGGTAATCCAACCACTGGCTCGATCGTTCCCTTCCGGTTCGTCCGAAGGGACCTCACCAGGTAACAACACAATGCGGCAGTCTGAGCGCAACGGCGCACGGCGCATGTTCCAACTAACGGCGTCCCGGCTGATTGACTGCAGCCCTCGACCAATAGAAAACAGCGGGCGAGGCTAGAGGACCTAACGGGTGCGGCTGGTCCTCCAACCAATGGGAGTGACGAGGGGCGGGGCTCCAGCGAAGTTCAGCGCAAGCTGGAAGAACCTGAGAGAACACAGTGTGGAGCTAGAGGAACACAGCAGGCCAGGCGGCATCAGAGGAGCAAGAAATCTGACGTTTCCGGTCGGGACCCTTCTTCAGAAATGGAGGAGGGGACTCTGAAATAAATAGAAGGGGGGGTGGTTGGACTGAGGAAGGTAGGTGGGATGGTGACAGGTGAGCGTGGGTAGGTAGTGCTGGGGATTGGTCAGTGAGGTGGGAGGAGCGGATAGATGGGAGAGAAGACGGACAGGTCAGGGAGGCGGGGATAAGAGGGAACAAAAACAAAGTTGCTGGAAAAAGTCAGCAGGTCTGGCAGCATCTGTGAAGGAAAAAAGAGTTAACGTTTCCGGTCCGGTGACCCTTCCTCAGAACTGATGGTGGCTGGAGATTTTGAAGCTAGTAAAGTCCACATTGAGACCACTGGGTTCAAAATGTCCCCACCCCCGGCCTCATCCCAAGACCAACCCTCCCTCTCATCGCCACCTCCTTGACCTGTCCGTCTTCTCTCCCACCTAAGATAACAAGGTGTAGAGCTGGATGAACACAGCAGGCCAAGCAGCATCAGAGGAGCAGGAAGGCTGATGTTTTGGGCCTCGACCCTTCTCCAGCATCTGCAGTTCCTACCTTCTCTCCCACCTATCCGCTCCTCCCACCTCACTGACTAATCCCCACCATGACCTATCACCATCTCACCTCCCTTCCCCAGCCCAACCTCTCCTTCTCTCTCTTTATTTCAGAGCCCCCTTCCCCTCCTCCATTTCTGAAGAAGGGTCCTGGCCCGAAACATCAGCGTTCCTGCTCCTCTGATGCTGCCTGGCCTACTGTGTTCCTCCAGCTCCACACTGTGTTATCTCTGACTCCAGCATCAGCAGTTCTTTCTATCTCTGGAAGAACAACAATTCATTTTCCACTTGGAAACTCTGTAGTCTACTCAAACTTGAGTTCAACAACTTTAGGGCTTGAGCACCTTCTCCCATTATCCTCACTACAACCTCCACACACCAAGCCTTCTCATCACATGGGCTGCTACCACATACAACCTATTGCTGGCTGCTAATTGTCTACATTAGCAGCTATTAATTCTCCCAGACTGACCTTTCCCCACATCATTATCTATCCAACTGTTTTTCTCTCTCATTGGGCTCTATCTCCGCCTGTTGTTTACACCCCCAATGATACACAAACAAACAAAGGCAAGACTTATACAATTAATGGTCGGGCTTTGGGTAGTGTGGTAGAATAGAGTTATTGAAGGGTTCAATAATTCTTTGAAATTTGCATTGCATGTAGATAGAGTGGTTAAGAAGGCATTTAGTGTGCTTGCCTTCATTGCTCAGAGCTTTGTAAACGGGAGTTGGGATGTCATGTTGAGGTTCTACAGGACATCGGTGAAGCCTCTTCCGGAATTCTGTTTCCAGTTCTGGTCTCTCTGTTATAATGAAGGATATTGTTAAGCTGGAGATAGTTCAGAAGAGATTTGACAGGATGTTTCTGGGGATGGACCATTGGAGTTTTGAGAAGAGGCTGGATTAAAAAAAAAAATCAAGAATCATAGAATCTCTGCATTGTGGAAACAGGCCCTTCGGTCCAACAAGTCCACACCGTCCCTTGGATCATCCCACCAGACCCATACCCCTTTAGCGCACCTAAGCTACACATCCCTGAACACTACGGGCAATTTTTAGTGTAGCCAATCCACCTCACCTGCACATCTTTTGGACTGTGGGCGGAAACCGGAGTACCCAGAGGAAACCCACGCAGACACAGGGAGAATGTGCGAACTCCACGCAGACAGTCGCCCGAGGGTGGAATTGAACCCGGGTCCCTGGCACTGTGAAGCAGCAGTGCTAACCACTGAGCCACCGTGCTGCCCCTAGGATAGGCTGGGACCTTTTCCACCGGAGCGTAGGAGGTTGAGAGGTGATCTTATAGAAGTTTACAAATCATGAGATCGGGTGTCTTTTCCCTGGGGTGGGGGGTTTCAAGACGGGGTGGGCATAGTTTTAGGGTGAGAGGAAAAAGATTTAGAAAAGACAAGGGGCAATTTTTTTGTTTTTACAGTGTTTCGTGCATGGAATGACTTCTGGGGAAGTGGTGGATGTGGAGTCAGTTACAACATTTAAAAGACATTTAGATAAGTACATGAAAGAGAGATGTTTGGAGGGATATGGGCCAAGAGCAAGCAGGTGAAGTTAGTTTAGTTTGGGACTCTGGTCAGACTGGTTGGACCGAAAGATCTGTTTCCGTGTTCTGTAACTCTATAACTCAAGGTGCAGGTGCAGCACCGGGTAGTGCTCTGAGCATGCTCAATGTCACTGATGGCAGTAGACAGAGGAGGTGCGGACACCGGAAGGAGATTGTGAGTCAGGTCAGGAATAGAAACCGTGGAAGGGAGACCTCCTGTGGAACTTGGCAGAGATACTTGGAACTCAGGCCCCATATTTACTCCGTGGGCAGAGATAAGCCAAGGAGCAACAGGCTATCAGCCACCATTTTAGGGATAGATTCACATGCCGAGTTCTGCCCGGTGATGTGTCAGGATTTCCCAGGATAACAGCCATCATTGTGACATCATAGAGTCATACTGCACACAAACAGACCCTTCGGTCCCACTTGTCTATGCCTTCGTGGATATACTACATTAATCTAGTCCCATTTGCTAGCACTTGGCCTATATCCCCTCTCAACACTTCCTATTCATTTAACCATCCAGACGCCTTTTAAATCTCCCAATTGTACCTGCTTCCACCACTTCCTCTGGCAGCTGATTCCATACACGCACCACCCTCTACATGAAAAAGTTGACCCTTTAGATCCCTTTTATATCTTTCTCCTCCCACCTTAAACATATGCCCTCTAGTTTTGGACTCCCCTACCCTGGGAATAAAAGACCTTGGCTATTCACCTTGTTCCTGCCTCTCATGCATTTTATAAACTTCTGTAAGGTCAGCTCTCGGCATCTGACACTCCAGGGAAAATAGCCCCAGCTTATTCAGCCTCTCCCTATACCTCAAACCCTCCTACCCTGGCACTGTCCTTGTAAACCTTTTCTGCACCTTTTCAAGTTTAATAACAGTTTTCCTATAGCAGGGAGACCAGAATTGGACAGGTGAGGATCTGGCCCTGACCCCTCCCTCTAATCATTTCACCAATCCCTGTCCCAGCCCCAGTCACTGAGCTCTCTGTTGAGGGAAACAACTCCTTCTCATCCACTCCATCAAGGACCCTCATAACCTTAGACACCTCATGAAATAACATGACATAGACCAGTTTCCTGTTAGTAAGTCAACCTTTATTTACACATGATCCAGCTGCCTCAGAGTGAAGAGGATGTCTGACACTCTTGTTCTTATCTGTGGACCAGGTTAACAGCCTTAATCAGGGAACTCATATTCTGTGAAGTCCACCTGGCTGAACTTGTTACAATCACTACACCTCAATCTAATCCTTCCCTATTTCCAGTGTTTCATGCACCACAAGCTTAGCCTAGACAATCCTTTCTCCTAGCTGCAACTTTCCAGTCCTGCCAAATATCCCCTCACCAGTGCAATTCAATGTTTCCTTTTAATCAGTCTGTTCAGACATGAGAAGACACACCTCCATGGCAGATGGGAAATGAACACAACGTGTGGCATGGAGGCATCACTAGCTGGGCCAGCATTTATTGCCCACCCCTGGTTTCCATTGAGAAGGTGGTGATGAGCTGCCTTCCTGAACTGCTGCAGTCCCCGTGCTGTAGGGAGAACCACAATGCCCTTAGGGAGGGAATTCCAGGATTTTTAGTGCTGCTGGAGGCATCACTGAGATTGAGTACAAATACAAACTTTCTTGGGTGACCAGTCTGCAAACAGCGCTCGAGCTATAGCCTAATGAATGACTTACATATGTCGGCTTGTTTGTTATTTATCTCACATCAGTAGGTGGCTTGGATTCCCACTGAAGGAACAGGGAGTGTTAGTGTCTCCGTGAATCCCTGTTAGATTGAAGGCAAAGCAACCACTCTCCCTGCAGCTCAGTTTTTAAAATCCTAGAATGGAGCTCTTTCGGTCAAGGGGGTTTCTTGTCGTTTAGTTCCCTTAATTTCTTTGCTCATACTGATTTCTTTAACTTCCTTGTTTTGTCAGACCATTGACAGCTCATTATTTCCAGAGATGCTTTTGTTTTCTACCATGAGAAAAATCATTGAGAAACCTGGGGTGTTGACGAGTTGCTACCTGAAAAGAAATTGAGTGTATGCATGACCATCCTTATCCAAGAAGCAGAAAGCTCATGTTGTGTGTTTCTGTCCTGGATTGATGGGCAGGGAATTTAGAAACTTTTCTTGCAAGGGGAAGGAAGGGGATAATTTACATACTGCAAACTCAAACCAAGGGATATGGTTGTCTCCTCCAAAGTACTGTCTTTTACTGACACATGACTTTTGTGATATCCTTTTACAGGGAGTTAGAAGATTTGAAGACTGAGATTTTTATTTGCCTCCAGTGTTTCTGATTTCTCTCAAGAATTTGGATCCAGCCAGGGATTTTAAAATTGAAGGCAATGAACTTGTTTCAGAGGTTAGAATTATTAATCATTATTGTAGTTTGAAGCTTCAGTTCTCCGCTCCATTTTTGTGGATCCAAATCGATATCCATATCCATCCATTGCATTGTCACATCTTTGTCCTCTCTGATCACCTCTCTCCCCTTGTTTAGCTTCCTCTGTCTCTAATCACGTTTGTACTTTAACCACATTTAGTATTTTGTTGTTGTTTGTGCAGATTATGTCTAAATAATGTTTCCATTGCCCCAGCAGCACGCTGCTGCTGATTTACCGGATTTACTTTCCCATCATCAGCAACTGTTTTTCTTCCAATGGAGCTTATTTCTGCTTCTGAGCTTATATAGACAGTCAAATACAGCACCATTTAATTCCCTTTAATTTATTCAGTACATCCTGAAATATCACATTTTTCTCTCTCCGTAGTTATTGCCTGACCTACTGATTATTTTCACTATTTTCTCTTTTTGTATCAGATTTCCAGCACCTGCAGAATTTACAACCAAGTCTGCAAACACAGACGGATCTATTAGGAGCAAGAACACAAGCAGCAGTATTTTGGATTGCCTCAAAATTAGTGAGAAGTTGAATATGTGAGGCCAGCTGGGAGGTTTGTTTTTTAAAATTCATTCACAGGATGACAGCTTTGCAGGCTAGGCTAGCATTTATTGCCCATCACTAATTGCCAAGAGAGCAGCTTAAAAGTCAACCACATTGCTGTGGTCTGGGGTCACATGTATGTGAGGATGACAGTTTCCTTTCCCAAAGGACATTAGTGAAACAGATGGGTTTTTCCATCAATCAATAATGGATTCGTGATCATTGTTAGTTAGTTCCAGATTCATTTTTTGTTGAATTCAAATTCCCCCATCTGCTGTGGTAGGAGTCTAACCTGCATCCCCGGGACATTACCATGTTATTGTTATTACATTATAGTCCAGCAAAAATACCATGAGGCCATTACCTCCCTTTATGGTGCAGGAGGATGACTAAAAGTCTAGAGATAATAACCAGATGAGCTGAGACAAGGGGGATGTTGGGTGATGTCACTGATGTAAAAGTAGTTGGTCTCGGTGCTGTTGTGAATATGTTGCCTAGCGTCATAAAGATGTACACCACGGAAACAGACCCTTTGGTCCAACTCATCCACGCCAAACAGAAATCTTAAACTGATCTAGTTCCATTTGCCAGCATTTGGCCCATATCACTCTTAAACCCTTCCTTTTCATTTACCCATCCAGATGACTTTTAAATGTTGTAATTGTACCTGCCTCCACCACATTCCTCTGGCAGCTCATTCCCTGCAATGACCTCTGCATGAAAAAGTTGCCCCAGGGTCCCTTTTAAATCTTTCCGCTGTCACCTAAAACCTATGCCCTCCAGTTTTGAACTTCCACACTCTGAGGAAAAATCTTGGCTATTCACCCTATCCATGCCCTTCATGATTCTATAAACTTCTAGAAGGTCACCCTTCAGCCTCCAATGCTCCAGGGAAAATAGCCCCAGCCTATTGAGCCTCTCCATATAGCTCAAACCCTCCAACCCTGGCAACATCCTTGTGCAATTTGAAAAGTGTTTGGAAAAGATTTACAACATCCTTCCTATAGCAAGGAGACCAGAATTGCACCCAATATTCCAAAAGTGGTCAAACCAATGTCCCATACAGCTGCAACATGACTTCCCAACTCCTGTACTCAATGCACTGACCAATAAAGACAAGCATACCAAACACCTTTTTCACTATCCTGTCTAATTGCAACTCCATTTTCAATGGACTATGAACCTGCACTCCAAAGTCTCTTTGTTCAGCAACACTCTCCAGACCCTGATTTGCCTTTCCAAAATGTAGCACCTAACATTTATCTAAATTAAACTCCATCTGCCACTCCTCGGTCCATCTGATCAAGGTCCTACTGTACTCTGAAGTAACCCTATTTGCTCTCCACCACACCACCAATTTTGGTGATATCTGTAAACTTACTAGCCATACCTTATATATTCACATTCCAATCACTTATATAATGACAAAAAGCAGTGGACCCAGCACCGATCATTGTGGCACACTATTGGTCACAGGCTTCCAGTCTGAAAAGCAACCCTTCAGCTTTAGTTTAGTTTGGGCATGACGCTGTTGTTCTGACCAGTCTGTTTGAACATCAACAGTTGTCAGACAGAGGATTGATTTTGGGGACTAGGAAGTGGAGTTTGTAACAGAGACTATAGCAGCTGCTTTCATCTTTCCAGTGCTTTAATGGAAGATATTTCTCCTCCTCCAATTCTGCACGTCAGACCAGTGTGAGATTTGGATGGAACTTAAGAGATGATGGTGTCCACACACATCTCCTCCCCGGTCCTTCGAGAGAGTGAAGGCTGAGAGTTTGGAAAATTCTGTCCAAGTTCTGGGCAAGCTGTAAGTACATTCAATCATACTCCTTTGCTTCTGCGTCTCTCTCTCTCTTCTTTCTTTGTTTCATCCCATGAAGCCAGAAACTTATCCATGTTCAGACTGGGGTGGCAGATTCCCTTCCCGATGGACATTATTGAACCAGTTGTGTTTTTCTGACATGCTGGCAGGTTTCATGATGAATTTCTTTCACTGCTGGCCCAACAAATTGCCATATTCATTCAGTTCAATGTCACAGTTTTTCCGTTCTTGTGAGTGTTCTCTCACTTTTTTTTCCTGTTTAAAAAGGTTTCAGAGGGTGCCAGAGGAGGAGGAATTACAGTCAGGGTTCACAGATCCAGCTTCACCTCAGAATCTGATGGGGGCTTTCAATGTATCACAACCAGAATGTAATTGGATTTTGAACGTGGAAGGAACAAGCATAGTTCGTAATGAAGAGAAATCCTACACACGTTCTGTGCGTCGACAAAGCTTCAACCAGTCATCTGATCTGTGGTGACACAAGTGCAGTCACAATGGGGAGAAGCCATGGAAATGTAAGGATTATGATGAAGGATTCAAATCCCTGCCTGAGCTGGAGACCCATCAGAACAGTCACACTGGGGAAGAGGCCATTCACTTGCTCAGAGTGTGGGGAAGGATTCATTCGGTCATTCCAACTCATGACCCACCAGCGAGTTCACACTGGAGAGAGACCTTTTAAATGCACACAATGTGCAAAGTGCTATAAATGTTCTGACAAACTGCTGTCCCATCAATGTGTTCACACTGACGAGAGACTGTTCAGATGCTCTCACTGTGGGAAGGGTTCAAATCATCATCTGAAGTCACTGTCCACCAGAGAATTCACACTGGGGAAGAGGCCATTCACCTGCACTGTGTGGGAATTGATTTGTTCGGTCATCACACCTCACAGGACGCCAGTGAGTTCACTCTGAGGAGAGATCTTTTAATTGCGCAATCTGCCGGAAGTGCTTTAAAAGTTCTCAGGAAATGATGCACCATCAACGTGTTCACACCGAGGAGAAACCGTTCAGGTGCTCTCACTGTGGGACTGGGTTTAAGCATTCATCTCATCTCACTGTCCACCAGTGAATTCACACCGGGGAAAAGCCGTTCACCTGTACTGAGTGTGGGAAAGGATTCATTCGGTCATCCCAACTCATGACACACCAGCAAGTGCACACTGGGAAGAGACCTTTTAATTGTCCAGTCTGCAGGAAAAGCTTTAAATGTTCTCAGGAAATAATGACCCATCAACATGTTCACACTGGGGACCAATCTTCTAAATGCCCAGACTGCAGTAAGCCCTATAAGAGTTCTCGCTGAGGATCCATCAATATGTTCACACTCAGGAAAGACTTTTCAGATGCCCTCACTGTGGGACTGCATTCAAGCTATCATCTTACCTCACTGAGCACCAGTGAATTCACACTGAGGAGAGGCCGTTCACCTGCACTGAGTGTGGGAAAGGATTCACTTAGACAGCCCGCCTGCTGACTCACTTCACACGGAACCACAGGAGTTGGACTTTGCTGTTAGTCACTTCCAGGACTGAACTATGTTCATCGGTTAATAAACTCCAGCTCAGTTTTAGCTGTTAATATTCTGGATAAAAAAAAAATAAATCAGCTTTATAATTAAACACAGTGTGGGAAATCATTTTAATATCTCTCTCACATTTGTTCTGAGCAAGTTAGTTCGGAAGGGCTGACCCTCTCCCCTGTTTGCTCCATCCTCACCAACAACACCAAGTGTGAGGTGGTGATGGAACTTCTTTCTTGCTGAGATTGTATCAATTTGATTGGCTGTTTCTACTGCTTCCCTCCCTTTCATGACCTCACTGGGTAAAACTGCTTCTACAGTTCCTTCCTGCGTGAATCCTGAAGTCCCATATTTCTCAAGGTTCTCTCTGATCTCCCTGATAAAGCTGATCATGTCAATGAGATCCACCTTGTAGTCCTTAAATTCTATTCCCACTAAACCGCTGACTGCTCAAATTCTCCACATTAGCTGTCCCCCTCACCTAGAGATCCAAATTATCACCCATCCTTAAAAAACAAGCCTTCACCACACTGCCTGAACAAATTACCACACAATCTTTCACCTCCCTTTCCTCAAATGTGGTGTTCCCCCAAGGGTCATAGAATCCCAACAGAGCAGAAATAAGCCATCAGCTATTGTGTCTGCACTGACTCGAAGAGCATCCCATCCAAACCCTCCCCATCCCCATGAACCCATTTGGGGTTTTTACCATGGCCAACCCACCTAACCTGCACACAACAGTGCAATTTTTAGCATAGCCAATTCACCTATCCTGCAGACACAGCAAGACATTCAAACTCTACACTGATGGTCTGTCAAAGTCAGGAATCGAATCCAGGTCCTTGGCGCCGTGAGGTAACAATGGTAACCACTTAGCCACCCCACATTTATCCTTTGCTCCTCTTGTTTCAGGTTACAATGAGGTGAGAGCATCCAGAAGAACTACATTAGTTTTCACATCTACACTGACAGCAGCCAGCTCCACCCTCAACACCATCAATCTCCCTTCTCTACTGTTACTAAATGATCAGACTGATTATCCCACATCCAGTATTAGACTGTGTTGGTGAATTTCCAGCTCAGATAGGGATCTGAATCCTTTCTCACAATCCCCACATTTCCACGGTTTCTTCCCAGTGTGACTGCACTTGTGGTTTGTGAGGTCAGATGATTGACTGAAGTCTTGTCCACACACTCAACACATGTACAGTTTCTCCCCACGGTGAACAGTGTTTTCTCCTTCCATACTCAAAATCCGATTGTATTCACATTACACTAAATGAGTGTATTCCCCTCCACGTAATGGAACTTGCCATGCAGTCTGGATGACAAATCTCTGACTTCTATGGAAGAACAGAGAACACAGAGAGAGAGAGAGAGAGGAGGACAGCAGAGGTCTCAAAGCAGGGGAGCGTCAGGATAGGGGGGACTTGGGGGGTGGGAAAGAATTGGGAGTGAGGAAGGCAGCATTGAGGAGTGACAGTAAGAGCAAGGGGCAAGAGTGGGAACAATGGCAACAAAAGAGCATAGGGGTGATGAGAGGGAGGTCAAGAGAGTGACCTCAAACCCTCATCACCAAGATTGTCTATTTCCAGCTCAATGACATCACTTAACTCTGCCCTAGTCTCATCTCCTCTGAAACTGTCATCCAATTCTTTGTTACCTGTAGACTTAAATGTTCTAACACATTCTTGGCCATCCTCCCACATTCATCTTCCTTGTAATCTCAAGGTTATCCTCATTCTGTTGTTCATGACCTTACTCACACCAATCCTTGTTCACCCATCACCGCTGTGGTCTCTGCTTACGAAGCACAAAAACTTAAAAAATCTCAGCATTATTTTGAAATCCCTTCCTGGCTGCCATCATCCCTATCTCTCTAATCTCTTCCAGCACTCAGAGATATCAGTGTTCATCTAACTCCAACTTCTTGAATTTTCTAAATTTTTAAATCATTCCACCACCAGTGGCCATTCATTTAGCTGCCAAGTCCCCAGGCTCTGGAAATTCCTCCTTAAATTTCTCCAGGTTACACGGTTCTTGAAGATACTCCCTAAAACAGACCACTTAATTGAAATGTCTTTCCATCACCACACGGACTGTAGCATTCAAGAAGGTCCACAGGTAACTCGGGGGCAACAATACAATCTGCTGATCTTGGTGACGATTGTCAAATCCCAAGAACAACTTTTTTAAAAATACATTTTTAAACATGGCCATACATATAAAATGGATTACAAGCATCTACAGAAATGCTTGTTCCTAACATAGCATCTTATTTGATTAAATGCACAGTTTCCATTTCACAACCTGATCTCCTCTAAATCCTACCATCCTTTGACAATTACAGATCGGAAATTCCTGGAGTTAACTGGGTTCCGGAGGTTTGAGCAGCTCATCCTCCATCTCCGTTCCAGCTCAAAGAGAACTGGATAAGCACCTGAAGATCATTCCAGACCCTCACCACCCTCTGGGTGAATTATTTTCCCCACAAATCCCGTCTTAGCCTTTCACATTAAAATTATGCTGACCTATTATTGACCCTTCAACTAAGAGGAGAAAGTTAATAAAGTTAATTATTTATACTCTGGATTGTTTAGTGTCATTTTCATAATCATCAGCATAAACCTCATAAACACAACAATTACCATCCCTTGAATACTCAAATGACATTTGGCCCTGCTCATTCCCAAGAACCAGATCAAGTGGAAAAAACCTCCTTCGGTTACAATGAAAGAGAGGGGAGCGAAACTCACCGATCTGCTCTGACGATGTATGAAATGGCCTCCTGTCCTGTGATCTTTCCATGATTCTGGGAAAAAGGATGTGAATTGGAGTCAGGGAGTAAACCTCTGGAACCAACACTGCCATACTGCAAACCAACTCTTAATTAGTCTGTCTGTGTATCTGGACTCAGTTCTCCAAACAAGCCCTGGAATAGAACAAGGAGAATACCAGAGATATCGGACAACTAAAATAAAACAAAAGATGAAAGGCTGGAAAACTCAGCAGCTCAGGTAGTACTTGTAGTGAAGGTAACACAGAATTAACATTCGACGATGTGCAGAATGCATGCGGTGAATGAAAATAGCAAAGAATATGATGGTTCACATTAGCTCAGAAGAGAATTGATTACTCATTCAGTAAATAAAATTGCTGACCATTGGAAAGCAATGCTGGTGAATCGCAGCACATAATCAGCAGATGAGTAGCAATGGAAACCCCATGTGGACACATTGTTAGACATAACAGCAAAATACCAAACGGGGTTAAAATACACCACTATTAAAGGTACAGCAAGTTGGACAATGGCAAAAAGATGATCAGGGCGAGAGTGGTGAAACAAAGGACATGGATTTAGAACCACTGTAAAAGACTCACATCAGACCCAGAGAGATGGAACAACAGCATAGCACAAAAAGCTGTAAATCGTAGATGGATGCTCAACAATATTCATTTCTGAAATAATTTCATTGATTTCAAATTTAAATTCTCCTGCTGGATGTTGCAGCTGGAAAGATAGTCCAAGAATTGTTGTAAGAGAAAAAGCCTAGTTGTCCAAAATCTTCAGCTCCCTGTAAAATGAGATTCCAAAAATCATAGGTGTCAGTCAAAATTGAAATTCAGTGACAAACTTTTCTCCTGGTTGAAATTTGCCCTGTGAAAGGAGTTTCCAAAATCAGACGAGAATGTAACATCACAAAAACAATTGAACGAAGAGAAATTTCAATTGCAAGGTTGGGTTGGAGACACTGAGGTTGAGGGGAGACTTGACAGATGTGTCCAAGTTTAGAATAGATTATATTAGGTAGATGAAGGTACATTGCAGAGTGACATTTTGTTCCTACTATATGATCCTTCCCCAGACTGTCTAGTGAAGTGCAGTGTGATGCCCCGACGTTGTGACTGATGTTATATCAATGTGAGTATTCATGATTTTTCTGGAGGTTGACAACAGTCCTCACTATACCTGCTTTAGCACTCTCTGTGGAGATTTTAATCTGCTCAGTTTTCCCAATTTCAGATCACAGAAATGTTCCCATGATTGACCCTATGGGACACAACTGTTTACATCATTTCCTCTGTGAAAACTCTCTTTTGTCACTCTTTTCCTATATCTATAAAGGAGATTGATATTCCCTTTCAAATTAATTGCTAGTCTCATTGCATACTTGCTTTTTGCTTTTCTATCATTCCATCCACTTCCGTCTGAACCATCCATATTCAATTAGGTTCTCAACTGTATTTTCTCATGTCCGTAAGAAATGCACTTTTTCATGCTTATCTTCATTCTTATGTCATCATTTAAGAAGCTCTAACTTTCTTTGCCCTACTTTTTGAATGTGTCTGAAATACTTCTTTTTCAAAGGTAGCCAATTAATCAGCTACATTTCTTTTCCTGTAAATATTTGACTCAATTATTTTTGGTGAAGTTTTCTTCTTACTCCATTTAAATAAGAATCAGATATCATGCAGGACAGAAGAGACCCTTCGGTCATCAAGTCAGTAATGTCAAATCTAAACCAAATCTACACTTGTACCACTGTCCAGGCCCAAGTCCAAAGCTTTGAACATCATGACATTTCACTTGCTCATTCAAGTACTTTGCAAAAGTTGTGAGGTTACCCACATCAACTCATCTCCCAGGCAGTCCATTACAGACCCCACTACCCTCTGGGTGAAATATTTTCCCCTCTAAGCCTTTCACTTAAAATTATGTCCCGTTATTATTGACCCTTGGACTGAGAGGACTAAATTGGCTTTCCTCATTTAATTATTTGTGCTCTGGATTGTTCAGCATCATTTTCATAATCATCAGCCTAATCCTTTTGACACAACGATTATTAATCCTTCCATATTCAACTTACACCACCGTCCTCGTGACCAAGAATTAGGTCCAGTACTGCCACCTTTCTCACTGGACTGAAATCACATTTTAGGACAAAGTCTGGAAGTCCCTTCCGAACAGCATGGTAGTCGTCCCACACCAAATGGACTGCAGCGATTCAAGACAGCATCGCTCCATCACCTTGTCGAAGTCTACTAGGGATGAGTGATAAATACTGACCCAGTCAGATTGGCCGGATCCTCGGAATGAACCAACAGAAAAAAACTGCCGAATATGTTCCTGAAAACGTTTTAGGAACTCTTGCCCTTCTCTGTCCTTTGTGCAAGCATATTTCAGTGTAACTTTCTTCTCAGTCTTATTGATTATCGTCCCCTGTCCATATCATAATTAACAGAATTCACCAATAGAAGTATATGTACCCACAATGCCCCGCGGTGGTGAATGGCCCTGGATCCAGGTCGCGAGAGCAGTGCGCAGCCGTCCCACGCAGTATCTGGAGCATGCGCAGGAACAGACGCTGTTTTTTTCTCATCTGCAGGCGGTGAGAATGCGGAACCGCGGAGGAAGCGCTGGAGCTGGGGGACGGGGAGGGTTTATAAATACTTATTAAATACCTCAAACTGCGATTAACAACTTGCAAGTCCTGGATTCGTGTCCCCGGGGCCTTTTCCAGAGGTGAAGTTCAGGTTAGCTGCCGCCATTTTGAATCCATGGGCGCAGCGCGCTTACGTCCCGGCGTGGTGACGTAATTGCATGCGCGGGCTGGGTGTTGTCTGATTTCAACTGGGTCCTAGTGCCCGTTAACTGGACGGTTTCTGAAACATCGCTGACACGTTCCACAGTTATTGGGTAACTTGGGCATGGAGTGTGTCTTAGACAATGGAAATAATATCTGCCCCACCATTCTGGACCACTGCTACACAACCATCAAAGATGCCTACCGCTCCATTCCCCCACCTACTCTTAAGAAAATCAAATAACAGCGCTGTGTTCTTCCCCCCAGCTTACAAGCAGCAGCTGAAACGGGAGGATCCTTCAATAAAGGAAGTACAATGCTGGTCCGAGGCTTTGGAACACTGTGTCCGGGACTGCTTGGAATTAGTGAACTGAAACATGTTCAAGTACTCAGTGGAAAGCCTAGTCTTGTACGCCACTACCATCACGGACTTCATTAGCAAATGCTTTGACCACTGTGTACCAAAGAAGTCAATCTGAGTGTTCCCCAACTATAAACCTTGGACGAACCAGGAAATCCACTCGCTACTGAAGATCAGATATGCAGCATTCAAGTCGGATGACCCAGACTATTACAACAACTCCAGATATGACCTCTGCAAACCTATCAGGGGTGCCAAGAGGCAGTACCGGAACAAGTTAGAAGCCCAAACCTACCAAACAGACTCCCGCCACCTATGGCAAGGCGTAAACGACATTACGGGACAAAAAATGAAGTACAGCAAGATAGTGGACAAAGACACATCCTTCTGTGACGCTCTCAATGCTTTCTGTGCTTGGTATGAGCAGAATCCACAGTGGCGCCTACCCCGATAGCCCTGGACACACCCTGTTCTCTCTGTCACCACTGCAGACATCAGATTGGTCAACCCAAGGAAAGTGACGGGCTCAGACGGTGTCCCCAGCCAAGCACTCAGATCTGTGCGGACCAACTGATGGAGGTATTCGCTGACATCTTCAACATCACCATCCTACAAGCCAAAGTCCCTACCTGGTTCATGAAGACCACCATCATCCCGTACCTAATAAAGCACATGCAATGTGCCTTAATAACTATCGCCTAGTGGCTCTGACCTCAATAATTATGAAGTTCTTCAAGAGGCTGGACATGGCCCACATCAACTCCAGTCTCCTAGCCTGCCTTGATTCCCTACAATTTGCCTACTGATGTAACAGGCCCTCAACCTTGGTTTCAGCTCTGCCATTTGCAACTGGATCCTCAGCTTTCTGATGCACAGGCCGCAATCAGTGAAGATAGGTAACTGAACTTCCTCCACAATAACACTCACCTCTGGAGCCCCTGCAAGGATGCCTCCTCAGTCCCCTACACTACACCCTGTATACCCACGACTGCATTGCCAAATTCCAAATGCACACCATCTACAAGTTTGCTAAGGACACCACCATACTGGGAAGGATATTTTATAATGATGAGCCAAGATGTAGAAAGGAGGTAGAAGGCTGGTGACATGGTGTAATGAAAACAACTTCTCTCCCAACATCGACAAAACTAAAGAACAGATCATTGACTTCAGAAAGAAAGGAGGAAAACGTGCCCCCACCTACATCAATGGAACTGAGGTTGAGAGGATGGAGAGTGTCAAGTTCCTCGGAGTGATGATAACTGACAACGTGTCCTTGACTTCCCACATAGATGTGACAGTCAAGAAGGCACAACTATGCCTCTCCTTTCTCAGACATCTCAGGAAATGTTAGCATATCCGTAAGGACCCTCACCAACTTCTACAGATACACTATTGAAAGCATATTGTCCAGGTCCATAACAGTCTGGTATGGCAACTGCTCTGCCCAGGACCGTAAGAAACTACAGAAGGTGGTGTGCACAGCCCAGACAATCATGGAAGCCAACTTTCTGTCCATGGACTCCATTTACGTGGTCTGCTGCTGTAGAAAGGCTGTAATCATCATCAAAGACCCATCACACCCCAGTAATGATCTCCTATAACTTCTTCCATCAGGCAAGAGATACAGAAGTGTGCACGCACACTTCCGCGGTTCAGGAACTGCTTCTTCCTGGCCGTGATTAACGTGATGAATGGACTCTCGAGCCTCAAATAATGCTGATCTTGCTAACGTTGATCTCGCCTAGCATACACAGTGTGCGATGTAACCTGTATGCTTCTGTCTTAGTCTTTTTGATCTGTACATCTTTGCTTACTATGTTCTGCTTGTACTACTCGTAAACAAAGCTTTTCACTGTACTTCGGTACATGTGACAATAAATCAATCACTCAATTTAATAGTCTGTCTTTGATAGAAGGATTCCCTTTGTATCTCTTGATGCTTTGTTACTCATTTTGACTTATTTTGGTTTGGTTGAATCAGGTTTCTGGAAGAATAGGAATGTTCCAGAGGAACAAGGTTTGGATTCTGCACTTTCTGCTGCTGCTAATCATACCCAGGACTGAACCATATTCACTCTGTTCATCCTGATTTGTTGATGAGTTCTTGTATTCTGCATAAATGTAAAATTAATCACCTTTTTTTGGACGCGTTTTTGTAATCTTTGTCTTTCTCACCTGAGTGTTTAACATCACCTGGCTGGAGTCATAAAGGACAATCTGGGAGGAGGATCATATGTCAGAAACAGGTCTTTAACCCTGACACAGTCCATTAGGGTCACATTGCAAAGGACAAATGGACTTCAATCTTTCTTGTTTCTCTTCACGCACAACTGAGTTATCATGATATAATCCTGAGGTGCACAATAAATAGTTCTCAGTCACTCTCTTCCTTGGTTCAGAGCCCTAGACACCAAACAGCAGCTCCCTTGCAAATGTGTTTAAAGTCAGGAAGAATAACAATAAATGCTAGAAACATGCTGAAAAATCAGAAATTGGTGTCAAAACCGTGATCTGTTTTATCACACAAAACAAAGAACTGCAGGTGCTGGAGATCTAAAACACATGCATGTCTGTTTCTAAACTATTCTGACTGAAAGTGAAACAGCAGTTTAAGTTTCCAGTCTGAAAATGGCACTTGATAATTCCCCAACATTTGAACCTGTTTGTGTTACAATAGTCATTTATTGATCAAGACACATTTAAAATGCATTAGTTAAAATCTGTAGTAAAATTGCAGATGGAGGTATACAATTGGATCTCTATGCTCCTTTTACATTGATTATAGTTTGATTCCCAGATAAAGAAGGGCCTGCACTATGTCCAAAAATTTCCTCTTGTATTGATAATGCTTTAAAAACAGCACTTTTTTAAAATATACCTCACCCCTACATGTGAGTTAAGATAATTTGAAAAGCATTACCTAATCGCCTGGTGGAAACTGTTTCAATAGGAACTTTCAAAAGGAAATTGGAAGTATATTTGAAAAGTAAGGTTTCTAAGGACTTTGGAGAAAAATTGGGGAAGTGGAACAATTGGACAATTGTTTAAAACAGCTGACTAGATAGGCCAAGTGGCCTTGTTCTCCTGTAAAATTCTGTTGTTCAAGCAGTATCACTCTCATCAATCCAAATCAATGCAATTTCATTCTTGAAATAACTGTTTGAGTTATTAGCATATGGAAATTTAACAGCAACAGTGTTACCCAATGTTATGGTTAAGCTGTAGATTTGAATCTAACTTCAAAATCACTAGATTGTGAATTTGACGTCTGATTCACAGCCTCACATTAACCTGGTGTCTCAATCGCTGCAGTGCTGAAAAAGCATCATCTTTCTGGTGACTATCTGAATGAATAAAAACATTAATTCTGTTTCTGTTGGATTTGTAAGAATTTACGTGAATTGTACTGTACTGGACAGTGACACACTTAATACTCTGACAATTATCACTGCAGTTGATCAGGTAATAATTTACCTTAACCTCGGCCCTGGATCAGGAATTCCTGCACGAGAAACTGTGTCGGTTGAAAGTAATCCAGGCTGCATGAGTAATCACTGTTCTCCAGCTTGTGTCAGTTTATATTAATACAGCACCTGTTGTACCAACATTCACATGCCAGAACGTGTGTGTGTGTGTGTGTGTGTGTGTGTGTGTGTGTCAGCGATGCATACACTACATTTAATGCTCAGACAATTCTGATTGTCAGCAAACAATGAAAATAGAAGCTGTGACATTGGTGGATTCATATATTTTACCACAAACAGCTAATCATTGATTGTCTATCATATTCAAATGTGTGATAAACTGTTAATTATCCAACGTCATTATCAGGGCTGTAGTTTCAATCATTGGGAACAACAAAGCTGGGAAATAAGCACTGAAGTTTGATCCTGCCCAGTTATAATGTTAGCTTTAATGAGTATTAATCCAGAACCTGTTGTAATACTCCTGATAGACAATTGGTGAAGGAAGAAACCAGAGTCAGTCTTTACTGGATAGTCTAGAACAGATTTACTTATAGAGAGTGAAACATAGCAGGTAGGACCTCTCATGGTATGGTGGTAGTATCCCTATTCCTGAACAGGGAAACCTGGGTACAAGTCCCATCCTGCTGTATTGGTGTGCAATGACATCTCTGAGCAGGCTGTTTAGAGAAACAGGCCAAATAATCTTTTTTTTAAAAAAAAAGTTGAAATAATGAAGATATACAGTTCCTGACTTCCATGATTCTATGTCAGTTACTGCTCTTTATATTTATCCATCAACCTGTTTGGATAAGCTCTGACAAACCTCTGAGGCAAGTGAAATGTGAACCTGCACCTTTTGTCCCAGAGGCAGGGACATTGCCATTGCATGTCTAAATTCCTTTAGGTTTTTTTTTCTAGAGAAGGAAGATATTAATTATGTCAACTGTGCTCAAATAGATGCAGTGAGTATGGAGAATGCATGGTATATGCAGAGAGGAATGGAAAAGGTATAAGTGGATCAACGGTCGTGTTGAATTAAAATGCTGAGACCAGCAGCAATCTGTGGGTTTGTTCTTGATGCTGTCAGTGTGCGGTCACCCTCATAGGCAGGAAGTCTGTTCGTGCTGATAACATGAAACTGCCCACTTGTTTCATTCTCACACAGCACAACTTCCCGTTTCTCTGCTACCGGTTTGAAACCGCACATCTCATTTCTAAGCAGAAAATAAATCTCGGACCACTGTCTGGTGGAAACATCTGGCGACAGGATCAGTGTAGCGTCCTACAGATGACATTGCAGTGATATTTTAAAATGTAGCTATTATTTCTGTCTAAAGTTTCCATTTCAGGACAAACTGGCGGGCTCTGTGGAGCACAACCCGTCAGACCTTATGTTACGATTTGTTTATTATATCATCCCACAGCATAATTATGATCCATTAACCAATAATGCAACACCTCTATTTCGATTTAATCCCCTCCTCCCGCCTGACTGATAGTTGGATATCCAGGGATGTTCAGCTGCTATGTTCCCACTCTTTAAGCCGTGATATTCTTACTATTCTAATTCATATATCAGGGCATCCAGTTCTTTCAAAACTGCAGCATTCTGCATTCCTTCTCCACTGAAAGAATAATTAACTTCTATTAGCCTACTTATCAAAGTGAACAATGTCTCATTTCACACATTTCATCCATCTGCCATTTTTTTGTCCACATACTAAATCTCTCTATATCCGTTCTCAGATCTTCCTTTTCAGGTGCTCTCACTGCAGCACTGGATTCAGAATATCATCTGAACTCCCTGCACATCAGCAGTGGCCATACACCTATTTTGTATTTGGAGACGGGTTCATTAATTCATCCAACCTGTTGAGACACCAGCGAGTTCGTACTGAGACGTAAACTTTGAAACGTTCTGACTGTAAGGAGTGTGTTAAAAGCAAGAAGAATTTGCTGAGACACCAACACACACACTGAAGAGAGGCCATTCACCTGCGCTGTGTGTGGGAAGGGTTTCATTCGGCCATCTGTCCTTGTGACACATGAGCGAATTCACACTGGGGAGTATTCATTCACCTGCTCCATGAGTGTAACAGAATTAATTGTGCTTCCCAACGTCTGCAACACCAATACATTCATGTTAAGGAGAGGCTGTTCACCAGCTCTGTTTGTGAGAAGGGATTCACTCAGCCATCCGACCTGCTGCAACATCAAGTTCACAAATGACTGTCGAGGTTTAATTCTGACGATATTACTGCCTTTTATCATAGCCAGGACTGAACTAGCAAATTACTCCTGAGCAGTGCACGAAATGTTCCAGCCACTTCCTTCTATGGTTCAGAGCTCCTGGACATCGAATAGAAAATCCTTTATAATTCCTTAGAATCGATAGAACCCCTACAGTGTGAAAACAGGCTCTTCAGCCCAACAAGTCCACACTGACCCTTACAGCGTCCCACCCAGACCCATTCCCCAAACCTACCTAATCTACACATGGTCAATCCACCTAGCCTGCGCATTTTGGACTGGGGGAGGAAACCGGAGAACCCAAAGGAAACCCACGCAGACATGGGGAGAATGTGTAAACTCCACACAGACAGTTTTCCAAGGGGGAATTGAACCCAAGCACCTGGTGCTGTGAGGCAGCAGTACTGACCACTGAGTCACTGTGCTGCCCAAGCCACTATTATGCCCATTTTGTGCCGCCCACTGTGTTTAGAATCAGAAATAATAATGACGAAGGCTGGAAATGTGCTGTGAGATTAGTGTATAAATATGACCTTTCCTGGCTGGAAGTGAACCAGCAGTTCTGTTGAATTGGTAAAGACAAAACAAGAACAATGCCTTCCATCGCTAATTTATCATTTTTTAGCCTTCTCTTTTAGGAAAAGACCTTCAGGTTTTCCTAGTTATTACAATATATCCATTTGTGTGTTATCTATGGTTGGTATTGCACTTTCCTTGTTCTTGTGAATTATGACAGCAGCAGAAATGTTTCATTCCTGAGGGATTTCAGTTCGGGCTGTTTGGATTTACAACATCATTCTCTCTGTGTCTGTTAGATTAACAATTTAACAGGAATTAGGTGTTTGTCTGATTAATTGGAATTGAAAAGAATATCCTTTATTACCACATGTACTCCAGTACAGAAACACAGGAGTACAGTGAAAAGGTTTGCAATGTCGTCTCTTATGGCACCATCTTAGGTACAAGTACCTAGGCACAAATCTTAGATACATAAGGAACAAAAAAAAAGTTGGATTACTTCACAGTGTTTAAAAAATAAGTTCGAAATAAGACATAGTTAAAGATTGACATTACAGTCAGATTAAAAAAAGAATTCAAATAAACATCGCAGTAGCTGAGTGCAGGGGCTTCCACACGTAGTCCAACCAGGCTCCAGTCCAACAACTGTCCATGCTCCGCTCTAAGCCTCCAGTCCGCTCCGCACCAGCCCTCAGCTGCTCCAAGGTAATTTTTTTTTCCGGAACTGCTGAATATAACTGAGTGAAAATGTCAAGCAACCAACAAGCAACTATTGACTTAGCAGTCTCCACTGAAAAAAAGAACATTTTTCTTGCATCTTTCAGATCTTTCTGCCATTTTATCCCTGTACAATTTTAAAATGAAACCATGCAAATAAATGAATAAAATCTGTGTATTTAAAAATGAGGAACTGAATGACACTGATATATAATAGTAAACACAAAAATAACCACTGAGAATGACAGAGACCTCGGCAAGAAAAACACCTGGACAGTCGGGATGTCCCCACTTGACGATGAGCTCACAGCTCATGAAAGACTTAAAAATAGAATAGAATTATTAAAATAAACACCACCTGGTATTCTGTGTAATCAGCTATCCAGTGAACTCTTAATATTTGCGAACTACACTGAGTGATCGATCTTTGCATTGGCGTACGCGCACGTGAGAAGTAACTAACTGGAAAGTTACCCTTTACACTTCTACAGCAGATATAGGCTCCCTCTGACTCGGCCAGTAGAACTGTGGAATGAATTGGTTATGAATTGCTAAGCGGCCAGTTAAATGAGTTGGGCAGAATAACTTTACCTGGCTACATCATTCCATAAAATTTGAATATTTAGGACATAGATAGAGAATGAGAGACGAACAGTGGCTGTAGGATTGAAAACAGCAAGAGTCAAACCTTCAGTACCGATCAGAAAGGGAAAAAGTGAAAAGTTTTAAAAGCGCAGTTAATTATCTCTAGATAGTGGAGTTTTAAAGCTCTTTAAGAAATGGAAGAATTTAAGAAACAGCGGGAAAAAAATCGATGATAACTCATTTATTTTCGAATTAATTTATCGGAATTGATAATGTTTCTTCAACTCCCCACACCGAGAGTTAATGAAGCCCCTGTTGGTTCGAGGACCGAGTGTGAATGGCAGGTCCTCAAACCAATCGGAATGACAGAGGTGGGGAAACTAGGCCCGGAGCTCCCCTATTGTTTGAGACTCTTTTGAATTCCAGGAGAAAAGTGGACCTTTGTGTTTGTGTCTTTACACAGACGGAACCCTGTGCGGCTGTCTCAAAAATTTCACAGGGTTGTTTAAGTTTTAACTCAGGCCGGTTGCCTGTGATTGGCATTGCCCTGAGAAATTAACCACCGAATGTTGACACCTATTTTGTTGTGTTGAAAGAGACGCAATGTATCTACATGTTCTTTCCGTTTGCAAATAACAGGGCTTTGTCTACTAACACACGTAGCTTCCAGTGCATGCAAATTCACCCATACTGTGATCTGGAGTGACCACTTTGAATTGGCTATCAGTGTAATTCTTAGCAATTAGCAATTGTACTGAGTAACTGTGGAATATTTTGAACATATTTGGATTGGCGCAGGTTTGGAGCTCCGAAGGCCAGTTCCTGCGCTTAATTTTCTTTGTTCTTTGTTCTTTGTATATCGTCCAATTGCAGAATTGTATTTAATGCTGGACACTGTTTTGACTTTTGCGAGCATTGACCGGTTGAGTATGGTCATTACATTGCTGTGTGAACAATCAAAGGTAAATGCTGTTTGATATGATCAGCCGGTCTTCAGGATTATGGCCTACAGGCCTGGCATCA